ATCTTTTAATATTTACAACTTACAGTCCCCACCCAATTCCACAGATTAGAAAAATGTTTAAAGATAAATGTTCCATTTATATGTAAATCTTACAACAAATAAATTTATTTTATTCTTATATTGAATATAAAAATATCTGAAAAGACACCAAAATAAATTACATAAATATTTATAATTAACTGTAAAAAATAGTTTCCAAATGATATTATAGACCTATTTTTTTAATTGTTTATTAAACTTTTACAGATACAACAAAGTAATTTTACATAGAAATTTGAAACAAATATTATTCCCACCCCTACCCTCTAAACTAATAAATTACATTTATCAAAGAGAAAAAAGAACAAAAAGAAATAAAAATGAATAAAAATTTAAATAAGTTAGTTGCAAAAAAATCTATAAATTAAAAAAACAAAAATCCTGTACAGAATACACATATAACTTGATAACCCAATATTACAAACATTAAAGCTCAGGTATTTAGACAAAGTACTTAATTACATTTGCTTTGCAATTGAAAGGCCCTAAAATTTAGATTCACAGGTTGTAGAGATACTGACTTGCTCAGAAAAGAAAATTATAAATGGGATATATTAATTCTACACTAAGTCTAAAAATAGACCAATTTATTAATAAAGTAAACTGTACTATATATAAAATATTTTGCAGTTTATTTATTTATTTGAAGAGATCAGATGCAAAAACCTTTAGGTGCCGTCTGAAATTTCCATCGAAAATAAACATTCTCAGCCCCCTTTGCTTATGTTGAGATATTTCACTTTAAAGACCAGGAAAAGGACTTATTCTTTGCCATAAAAGTGATATTACCGAACATACACACAGTAGCCTCATAGAAACGCTTATTTTAGAGAAAAAATTCAGATGGCATTTAGAAGTTTCTGCATCTGAACTATTTATTTATTAACTATAATTTAACTATATTTTATAACTAATATACCTATAATGTAACTATTATTTTTAGGATTGACTCCCTTGTCCAAAGATGAAGATATACTTTTGCATCTAAAAGATTGGTTTAAATAACATCTTATAATCATAAGCTCTGCTGCTTTTCAGTTTCCTCACACACACACAAACTCACACACATCTTTTTTTAGCACATCACATCGTTTGTACCTTGATATGGTCTAAAAAAAGACGAGCTAATCAGATTTGACCCACATTTAAAGTTGAACTTTAATTAGTCAGTCTCAGGAGATCACAGCAACATTTTTAGCAGCCCACAAGAAAAAGAATTACTGAACTTAATCCAAGACCACATGTCAGAGCAAGTCCACATACATACAATCACTTCAGATCATCAGCGCAGGTTTATTCACAGCACAATAAGATAAACCTGTCAGGATGGATGCCTGATGATGCTGATCCCTCCCTGCTACATTTCTATGGTATCTCCAAATGCCTGAGTGACAGCTTCTGAGTGTGTGTGTGTGTGTGCGCATTTAGAGGTCATAATACTGTAGGAGTATGTGTGTGTGTGGTAGGAGGAGCGAGCAGTGGAGAAACAAGCAGTGTTTCAGCATTTCTGACACACTTTGCACCGTCACTGCTGTAGCATTAGGCTGTGTGATTCTTTACTGTCCGACAGGACCCAGGATGGGCCACCTGCTCAGACCATCTTAGAAATATACTAGAATATAAAGACTCCAAACAGATCTGCATCATGGGGGGATCCCAAAGCAAGAAGAGCAATGGGACAAACTCCCTAAAACAGAACAGCATTAGCATGTAAGTTTGACTTCTGTTTTGTATTTCAGCTTTGTATGTTAGTTGTCATGTTGTTTTAGTGGATGGTACACTTAGGGGTTTGAATACTTTGCGTAGTCCTGTAAAAGTGTGGTAAAACCTGGTTAATATCACACTTGTTTGCACATGAAACGTCACTTTTACCATGTCATATGAACTTCCCTGTGTGACAGTAAAGGTGTGGCTGTCATTCTGGAGTTTGTCATGAAGAAATAGGAAATCTGTGATCTGAAATAAAGTTTTAGAAATGTTTTTATGAATTGCCTTTATGCAATACAATGCTTAGTTTAAAGCAAACCCGAGCTCTTGTGCAAATATCTCCACGCCTTTTAGGTACACGGACAAGTTTCATGCCTACATAGCATATTTGTACATCTTTTATTTAGAGAGGAGCTGCCATGAGTGTGATTATATTGCATGTCTGCAGTACAGCAGATGTCTGAAGTGATAACAGCGTTTGTTTATATCTTAAAGACCATCCATAAACCTTATGGCTAATTGCATCATCATCTGTAGTGTGGTAAAGTTGTAAAAAAAAAGACACGTCAGTTGTGTGAAGGTTAGATGAGGAGTTTAACTCAGGCGTATGTTTACATGACAAAGGTGTTCTACTAAAACATAAAGAATTCCCTTTGCGTTTCTAAAACAAACTTCACACACAGGTAACAACGATGCCTGTTTGCATGGATCCACATTAATGTTGACTACAGCTTTCAGTAGAATATGCTCAAGAACTTGTTAAAGTTTGTATTTTCTTGTCATCCTCGAGGTTGTGATAATGGATGACCAAATCTAATAAAAAGGGTTTAAATCTTTAAATTACGTTATTATAACTTATTACATGGCTCTCTCGAATACTAATCAGTTCATGTTTATGTCTATAGCACTTTTATAATGTCAGTTGTGTCAAAGCAACCTAGCATAGAAGTTTAAGTAAATTGAATTTGTGTCAGTCCAGTTTTCAGAGTTGAAGTTCAGTTCAGTTCAGTTGAGTGTGGTTTAATTTTCACTGCTGAAAGTCCAAACACTGAAGAGCAAATCCATCAATGAGAGAATCTGATTGGTCAGTCACAAAATTCCAGGGAATGTTATTCCCAGGTAATAACAGATTAAGCTACTAACACAAGCTAAGCCAGGTACTATGAATCATCTTGACTTGGTAAATGTAGTCTATTTATTATATACGTGTATATATTCTTATTGCTAATGCTACTCTTGACTGTTTGCTACCATTTTTTTTATTTATTGTCTTTCAGCGTAGTCCCTTTATTTATCAGGTGTTGCCACAGCAGAATAAACTGCCAATTTATCCATCATATGTTTTACGCAATGGATGCCCTTCTAGGTGCAACCCAGCACTGGGAAACATCCATGCACTCTCGCATTTACACACATACACTACGGCCAATTTAGTTTATTCAATTTACCTATAGCGCTCGTCTTTGGACTGTAGGGGAAACCGAAGAGGCTGGAGGAAACCCACGCAAACATGGGGAGAACATGCAAACTTCACTGACCCAGCCGGGGCTCGAACCAGCAACCTTCTTGCTGTAAGGTGACAGTGCTAACCACTGAGCCACATTTGTGCAATTAAATAATCATAATAATACATAGTTAATAGTACTTCATGTTGTAGCCCGGATTCAAATTATCCACAGCCAGATCAATGTTTAGTTTTTTCCCCCAATTGTTTCAGTTTTGTGGAATAAGTGGGATAACATACATCCAACTAGTTGTTCTTGCAGATTAAAACTAGTATCTTGCATTAAACTTGTATAAGGTCTTGTTTACACTAGACTAGTGCAGTAAAACGACTGAAAATGCTCCTTGTCCAATTTTTATTGCATTTACCGGCCACTGCAGCAAAGAGGATAGAATCACTTGATCATCCTATCTGTAAAGTCATGTTTGCAAATTTTAATAAAGGGTTATTATTGGTCTGGTTAGCTGTCAACATGGCGCACTGGCCAATGCACAGACGGGTAAAGTCTAGAAGGGATACAGCTGCAGTTACTCTCATCAGTATGTCCAGCCTGAACTCATGAGGAAACGTAACTGTAGGGTATATGCACAGCTAGTGTTTCTTCCCAAACTTCCGGTTATTGGTTAATGTGATTTATTTATTTTTTAAAAATTGTATACAGTTTCTTGTACAACATTGATGTTGTAATGTAATTAAAATACAATCAGGTAAATAGACTTTAGCGTTTAGTTAGTTGTTCAAGTGTAAAACGAGATGAAAAGCCGTTTACACGCAAGCACCGTCAGGATCAGCTGACTAGCGCAGAAACTCCGTTGAAAATACTGGGGTAAAATTCATTTTCATATTTTAAAGACATGGCGTGGAAAAAATATAATTTAATGCAGTGCTTCTTATACATTCTGTGACCCACTGTATATCATATCATGCAGTGAAGATCATTGATTTTTAAAGAAAACAGACTTTAAATCTGCCATTTTTGTAACAGCATACAGTTCAAAGGAAGCGTTTGACCCAGGTTACTGAAAAATTAAAAGCCCTACATATTTCTGCATGCACCCCATTCGTGCGAGTTCAGCCGTACAAAAATGTACAAATTTAAAAAGGAGGCGTAGAGGTAGACGTTAATAAAATACAATTGAATGGCTAATTTAATAAATAATATAAATAATTCCCATTATAATTAATATTTCTACATTACTGTGAGGGGTAGGTTTATGGTTGGGGGATAGACAATAATAATAATAATAATAATAATAATAAAAAGTTTTTTCATTGACCCTCTGGCCTTTGTAAAATGTTATTAATTTTGAGTTGTCCAATATTTGTTTTCTTTTTAAAAAAGCCAAAAACTTCACATGGACAGGGACTAAAACACAGTTTTAAAATGAAAATGCAGACTGTTTACAAGCCACTAATACTAAAGGGCTTCTCAAGGTATACATTATCACTTACTTCATAGTGAATAGCAATTACCTTCATTTGTCAGCTCGGCTTGACTTGTGGCGTAATTTGTATAAATGATTTGTATATTCAAATGTATGAATGATTCATATCTTCAGGTTCAGCTTGTATGTGACGTGGACTACTCTTACAGCACGATAAGTGTAGCGTTGGTGAGAAATTCTCCTTGCGTGACCCCAAGTTCATTAAGTTTTGGTTGGAAGTTTTTGCATCTGGATCTTAAAATCAGACACACGACGCCTCTAATTAAGTGCAATTTACATGACATATGAACAGCAGATCATGTTAGAAAGGTTCAAGGTTTTTTACTTGTCAGGTTTTCATGCTTGTTGTACAAACACAGAGCATAAAAATAGCTTCTCCATGCTGGTTTTCCCTTCTTAGAAACACACTCATCAATATTGTCTTTTTCTCAGTCTGCAGGTCATGTTGTCAAGAGGGGAGTATAGTTGGGACTGTAATTGGAGAAAAACAGACTGTTAGAACAGACATTGGTCTCTTTGTAAATGGATTGTTAATAAGGAGTTTGTGTGATAAATGTTTGCTTGTGTTTTGAGGGGGTCGACTAGAGGGGGTTTTGGGTCACAGGGGCAGAACTGAAATATATTCTGCATTTGTGCATATGATTAAGGGTTTGTTTGTGGACAATGGCATTCTTGTTGGATTTGTGTGTTGTGGGTTATTATGCATGGAACTATACAAATTAAGATGTTTATGAGGGTACGGGGTACATGTATTAGTCTACCAATACTGTGTACTATTGTTTTTTGTGAGTTTGGGGATCAGTCAGTTTAGTTTTTGAATGGAAAATCTTTTGCTCCTCAAGACTACAGTAGTACAATTGTGAAATAATATGTTTATTGCTGTTTAATTCTCTTTTCTGTTTTTCCACTATTCTACTATAGTGTACTATAGTCTACTTTAGTATTATCAATATTAGTTATTATTATCACTGTCAGGCTTTTTTTAATCTTATATTTTTATAAATAAAAACCTCATAAAAAATTTTTAAAATAGAAACTTTCAGTCACTCAAATGTAATGCATCCATTATAAATATAAGTATTAATTTATTGAAAAAAAGATAAGAGAGATAAGCTTTAATTTATTTTTTAATATATTGTCACCTTAAAATTATAAGGTTCTATCTGACATTTTTGCCAAAATTGAGTTATTGACATATTCTAATTAAATGATAACTTATTTACATTATGGGATGTTTTTCATAAGTCGTTTACAATTTAAGATTTTTTTATTTAATAAAAAAATGTTACACACATACTGTTTGCTACTTTAAAGCTCAATATCTCAAAATCATTCAGAAGGCAGATAGAACCTTATAATCCAAGGTAATGATGTGTAATAATTTAATAAATATTCTATAATAGTTCTTTTGTAGGCATGTAATATAAAATATATTAATTAATTTACAGTCACGTGCTCAGCTGCTTGTGTGTATAGTCCTGTATCTGGCCAGCAGATGTAGCCAGTGTGCTGTATTGTCCATTGGCTCAAAACATTTTCTGAAGTGATTCATTCTAAACCTGTGATTTCAATATGAGATATTGTTTTGTTCCATCTGCAAAGCACGTCATTTTAGCACCTGAAGTGTTACAGATAGCAACTCTATTTTTATTTATTTATTTATTGAGGTTTTACAAGTTTTTAAAATGAAATGTGAGATCATTATTGGATTCATGCACGTGCCGTAGATTGCTGGTTAGATTATCTGACTTTAGTCAAATTACTCTTATATAAGCTAATATCCTTATACATTTATTATTATGACCCCAGCTACTTTATACTTTACAAGTATGAACTATAGCTATACTTTACGTTTCTAGTTAAACACTAAATATGAATAAAGATTAGAACAAATTATCTCAATAAATAAAACAAATTCTTTTCAGTTTTTTTCAATTTAATTTTTGTCAGTGTTGCCATATGATAAAACAAAATATAAGAATAATTTTTGAGCATAAAATATATAACATAAAAAACTTTTTTAATTGAACTTGTAAATAATCTATATCTATAATTATAATGTACTTTTTATATCTATAGACTGATAAAGCTGTGAGAGACACTTGTCCCATTTCCTAAGAAGCGTTTAACCTTTTGATATAGTCCCATTTGCACTCCTTTTATAAGTAAGTTCAGGTTTTAACCACAAGATGGCTCTGTAAATTAATGAACCATGAGCTGTGCGTGGTTACACCACCTGACAAAAGTCATCACCTATCTGTGTTTTAGGAACAACAAATAATAACTTGACTTCTAGTTGATCATTTGGTATCAGAAGTGGCTTATATAAAAGGCAAAGGACTATAGATTACGCTTATTTTACCAGAATAAAATATGATCATGCCTTGATTTTTAATTAATTATTAAGGTCTGACTTTGCTTAGAAAAAAAGTCTTGCCCCTTAACAGAAATAATGTACAGTATAGAATCATGATGGAATGAAAAAATAATAAATATTGTGTATGACTCCCATGAGCTTGGAGGACTGCATTCATACATCGCTCACTGAAAAAAGTGTTGCATGCAGAACTGTTGCAAATAATTTGTTTGTGTTGAATTTAAACAAACAAATTAAGTTTAGTAATGTTCAACTTAATTTGTTTGTTTAAATTCAGCCCAAATAAATTGTTTACCACCTCTTAACATAAAGAAATTGAGTAAATCCAAGGAATAATCTTTGAATATTTTTTTTCAGTGCTGCAACAACTCAAATAACTTATTAATAAAGTCATCTGGAATGGCAAAGAAAGTGCTCTTGCAGGACTTTTAGAGTTCATCAAGATTCTTTGGACTCATCTTTAATGCCTCCTTCATCTTACCCCAGACATGCTCAATTCAGTTTATATCTGGTGACTGGGCTGGCCAGTCCTGGAGCACCTTGACCTTCTTTTCGTTCTGGAACTTTGATGTGGAGTCTGAAGTATGAGAAGGAGCGCTATCCTGCTGAAGAATTTGCTCTCTTTAGTGGTTTGTAATGTAATGGGGAGCACAAATGTCTTGATATCTCAGGCTGTTGATGTTCCCATCCACTCTGCAGATCACTCGTACGCCCTAATACTGATTGTAACCCCAAACCAAAATTTTTCCTTCACCAAACTTGACTGATTTCTATGAAAATCTTGGGTCCATGCTGGTTCCAATAGGTCTTCTGCAGTATTTGTGATAATTCGGATGCAGTTTAACAGAATCTACCTTCTTCCACCAAATGATCAACTAGAAGTTGTTATATTATTTTTATTTATTTTTTGCTCTTACAACTAGGATCAATGAACAGACTTTTGTCAGGTAGTGTATAATATACTGCTCAAAAAATAAAGGGAACACTTGGAGTTACATTGTGTTGTTTAAGTGTTCCCCTTTTTTTGAGCAGTTTCTGTTTCCTTATTATTGTTCCTTATAAATATCATGAGTTTAAATAGTTCAAATTATTCACATATTATGGTAATGTTCCTCTCATTCATACTTATATCATACCAAATGGATTCTATTTGATTGCAATAACCTAACAATCAAAACAAAAACTACTTGCTAATCTCCTAGCTTTTATTAACCCAAGATTAAACATAAGAAAAAACCCTGTGTGTTTCTGGACTCATGTTGCGATACACCCTTTATTTTGAAGGGAGTGGTTTTTCTCATGTGAGTTGTTTTTGGACAGCTGTTCTCCCTGCCTTGTGACTCCAGTAAAAATAACAATGATTATTGCCCTGCTGCAAATAGACCAGACCTCTAAATGCATTTATATAGATTAAAGAACACTATCGCTAGTCGACTGTTTATTGTCCATCACTTTCCAGTCTTTTCTGGAAACATGAAGTGTGGCTGATTGTGCTATTTTTAGCTCCCGCTTATACACAACGAAGCATAGCCGTATGTGCATGCATTGTACTGCAGACACAAATGGCCTGATTACAGCTATTTCTCACGTCACTGAAGATTTGTTATATAAGATAGCTCTGCCGCCTCGTTTGCGTCCTTTAGCCTCAGTCTAGTTCTGTCTGTTATTATTACACCTCATCACAGATCTAATATTCAGAGGCTGAGTTATAACACAGCGAATCTCCCTAGCAGCAGATGTCATCATTCACACTCACGCAAGATTGGATGCTGGGAGCTTAGAGGAGCTCGTGCTGAACCTGGCTCTGAACACGGGAATATCTTTGCCCTAATGGTTGAAGGGGTGTCATTTTTATGATGTGGTGATCTGGCCTGACGTTAAATTCAAAGGCTGTGGCAGCTGTGTCCAGAAAATAATAGCATAAACAAATATAAATAAGGCAGTCAAATAAGTATTTTAACTAAACACATGTCAGGTGTGGAAAGTGTGGGGAAAAATATTTATTTTTTATATATATATATAATTATTTTTAGGGTTTTTTCATGTTTATTGTATAGGACAATAGAGTTGAGAGAGAAACAGGTTCTGCAAAGGAACTCGATCCAGAAATTGAACTTGGGTCACCGTGACCCCTGACCACCTCAATGCAATAGACAATTTCAATGTGTTCATGTCATTGGTCCATGAAGATTTCCTGCTTGTTATCAAACTATTTCATAACTGTAAAGAGGCAATTCAATCGGCTATTCAAACAGCTATGATAACTTTATTTACAATCAATATGTGGCTCTTTTTGGATTCTTGGAAGCTATAGAAATTAAAAAAAATGTAAAGCAGGAAATACGTTGGGACTATTGTTTTTGTTGACATCTCTCAAAGTGGTCTATATGTACTGTAAGCACACTTAACCACTAGGTTAAGACATGGCAAAAACACGTTAGGGGTGTTTTCATCCACTCTAGGGTGATTTTGGTAGTCTTAAGTTGGCCACATCTTTCTCTGTGTTCCAGCAAATGGACTGATTTTTGGTGACAACTTATTTTGACACCTCTTTTGGGAAAATGCTTTGAAATATTTCAAAAACTCAACTACATTCTGAGCAAATTTACTACCTTTTGTTATGTTGGTGGTGGTTGTTGATCCATTACTTCTATTATAATGACATTTTTTGATTGCAAAGCCACGACAGCATATGATCATGCATTCTTGATTGTTGGTGCTTTTACATGTTGGGAAGATGTAAAATCTGTAATTTGTACAGTTCATCAACAGTTGCAAAATAAAGCTTAGTTTCTGCCTCTATATGGTGTTTAGTGTATATGTGTGTGAGAGAGAGACCTTTGCGCAGTTATCTTGATGTGTCTTTTTTTAATTACTCTTACTCAAACTAACATCTTTATACATTTATGACTATGACCCTAGCTACTTCATACTTTACACGTATAAACTATAGCTATACTTATACTTCTAGTTAAACACTAAAAATGAATTGGTAAGATTAGGACAAATTATCTAAATCAGTGGTTCTCAAACTTTTTTCATCAAGTAACACCTCAGAAAAAAATTGTCCCTCCAAGTACCACCATATGACCAGTATTGAAATGCAGTAGTGTAGTAGGCCTAATTAAGCAGCTACAACTCTGCACAGTTTAAAAACGTGGCAGATTAATTACTATTATTAATATTATTTATTATTTAAACCCTATAAATAGTTTAAACATCAACACTGCTGTGTTTATATGTAAAAAAATAAAAAATAACATGGCAACGTTTAAATGAAAATGCGCTTTTAAAAGTTCTTAAAAAGTGAAAAAAAATCTCCTATACGTAAATGTAAAGTGTTAACCTATAGTATCCTATTCATCAAAGCCTGGAAATGCTGCTTGGACCTCATAAATATAGGCTGTATGTCATCATATTCATTTAAGAACCATTTTTGATACATTTTGAAATATATGTTGCATGTACATATGACATATTGGATTACTCTGCGTACCACTAGAAGGCAGCCCACGTACCACAGTTTGAGACCACTGATCTAAATAAATAAAACATCTGAAAAAAATCTAAATAAGCAGGTCAGCTATCAAAACATAGTAAAAATAGTAAGTGTATGCACACACACATACTATAATCTGCTATTTTATTTTGTAGAACTACATATAGAAGCCAGAATTTTTTTGCACTCACCTATTTAAAGGGTTAACGCTGCCATCTGATGGTCAACTGTTAAAATTAAACATTTTACCTCTTCCCAACAGGGAGAACTACCAACATTCAAGAATGCATGATTATATGCGCTGCGTCCCATTTCGCCTGCTGTCCATCCTAAATAGTGTTTGAAAATAGAATTAGTATGTCCCAAATCATAGTGTGTTGAAAAGAGTATGCCAAAGGCTCCCAGAGGTTTACTATGTCCAGTAAAAATTTTAAGTTGTAGAACGGTCCATACTCTAATAGCTGATATTGCCCACAATACATTCCACGTTGGACGTGAATTTGATTAGAACTACAAACGCAGGTGAAAAGTGTAAATAAACTACAAACATGATGGGGGTGCGAGACTAACCGTCAGATTGAGAGGCTTCAGTAAAGATGTTTGTATAACTGTTAATTAATATCTAGCCAACTGGAAAATATTTAAATTGCGTTTTCTATGTTATATTTTATCTACAACAACAATACTGAACTTATATAAAGACGTATTTGGACATTTGGACATAGTATAAGTATGCGAATTGGGACGCAGCAATGGTGTCATGACTTTGTAATCAAAAAATGTCATTACAATGGAAGTCAATGGGGCAAAAACAGCCATAAACATAATGAAAGGGTAGTAAATTTGAACAGTACACAAGGCTTAAGATTAAAGTAATGTTGCTCAAACCCCAGTTTGCATGACAGAGAAAAAGTACATTTTAAAATGTATTTGCATAAAAATTTATTCCAGATTTTAAACAATATTTCACAATATAATTTTATTGTATTTTTTATCAAGTTAAGTGCAGCCTTGGCAAGTAAAAAAAAAAACATTATACAATATTTCTCAACTTTTGACTGGTAGTGAATCTCAGTAAAGGAATATGTCAAAGGATCATAAAAATCCCATGTGTTTGAGTCTTAGGTTTAAACCTTGCTTACCTTTGGTTTTGGTGAAAGTGGCTTGTGCAAAGCTTGACTGGTCACATGTAAATCTCACTGTACCTTTATTCTGTAAATGAGTGTTGAGTCTCACTCTGGACACACCCAAAACCAACTGATTGGAATTCTTCACATTTTTCATCCCCCTTTGTGTCTCCTTTGTGACAAACAAGTGATTTTTTTCCTTCTTCAAGTCCAAATCATTGCATTCAGTCAGACTGTTGGGTGGGTCCAAACACAGAGCTTCAGAGTCTTCAATCTGTTCGACACTCCAAATGTGGAAACAGTAATTACAAGCACTGAAGCACACTCCCTTAGGACTTTCTCAACCAAATGAGAAACCATCCTCTGAAGCCCTGTTTGATTTGCTTGACATCGTGTTAACGTGAAAAGTTCTGAGACCTGTGCCCCGGTCATTGTTTTGGGGAATGGGGAAAGCTAGGCTTCTTGCCCTTTTTGGGAAGCCTGTTTTCTTTGATGTTGTGTGTTTTCTTTTATTCTGGCTTCTGTGGGGGCTCTTGCCAAATTTTCCACGTGTGTTTGAAATGTGAGCCCTCCTTGTGTCGTCCTTCTCAACTTGCATAATGGAATCTCAGCCTCACATCTTGAGCTTATGGTCTTAAAACCTCACGATCGCGTCATAATGTATATGGGTGGTCGTTTATTTGGGGAAAAAAATCCACAAATGAAAAACAGATCTTTTCATTAAAATGTCATGCCCTCATTTACATATGCAAGTAAAATGGTTGTCAACTTATGTCTAAAATCTCTCCAACAGCTTAAAATAAGATTTGTATTAAGACTTGTTTGGATTTATATAACATAAATGAGAAGTCCTACAGGAATATGTAGCAGAAAACCCTTGAAATATTTACATTATATATAGTTGCCACAGCCATATCACCCTGCAGCCCAAGACCGGTTACTCACTAAAGTTAAGTAGGGCTGAACCTGGTCAGTTTCTGGATGGGAAAGCACATGGGAAAACTAGGTTGCTGTTGGAAGTGGTGTTAGTAAAGCCAGCAGGTCTCAACCTGAAGTCTGTGTCAGTCCTAATGCCCCAGTATAGTGAAGGGGATGCTATACTGTCAGTGAGCACTGTCTTTTGGATAAGATGGACTCTCTGTGGTCATTAAAAAAGTTCCATGGCACTTCTCGTAAAGAGTAGCGGTGTAACCCTGGTGTCCTGGCCAAACTCCCTCCATCAGTGCTTACCCATTATGGCCTCCCAAACATTCCCATCCATCGAATTGGCTCTATTATGGTCTTTCCACGTATAGCTGGTGTGTGGTGAGTGCATTGTCCTGTGGCTGCCATTGCATTATGCAAGTGAATGCTGCACACTGGTGGTAGTGTGGAGAGACACCTTCATGATTATAAAGCACTCTGGGTGTAGGTCATACACAATAAACACGCTATATGAATACACACTACTACTACGTTGTTTTAAAAATACACAATATTTTCTTAAATTCTGGATGATTATTTTAGGTACACAGGCATCTAAAGAGCTTACAGGGGACAATGTATATCCGTATAGGCTTAATCCAAATGCTGCACCATCAATTTTCCCCACAAGGAATCTAAAGACCCCAGAAATTTAATGAAATTTGCACTGAGAAACTGCTGAGGCAAAAAATGCTAAATGAAGTTTGCCACTAAAGGAGAAAAGTCAAGCTTATTCACAGAGAAATCAACAATTCATAATTTTACAGCATTTAGCCTTTCTTGTCTCTGAAGTTAATTAGCGGTTATGCAAGTGGGTCTAGATTCCTTTTGGGGGGAAAATTGATGGTAGTGAAAACTTGCCTTCTCTTATTGTCCTTACATTTAGAATCTACAACCAAAATCTGTACTATGTGATGTTATTTTCATATTTAATGTTTTAAGTTGTTTTGCTGTAAAAATAGAGGTTTTCAGTTCACTATCATTTCTCACGATATTTTGTCAAAGCTTAATTGAGCTACAGCTTCAAGAACTATTCGGGTTGTGAGAGTAGCTCTTGTGATGGCAACCACCATCAACACAGCCTCATCGGGGTTGTATTTTTAGACTGTTGACAGTGGTCAAAGGATGTGGTTGTGGTGCAAAATTGAGATACTTGGTGCCTTATCCATCATCCAAATCCTTGAGTAGGGTATTTTGCTGATTAGGATTATGTAAGTGCACACTGATAGTACTTTATGTTAGTTATGTTAGAAGTCCTTTTAAATGTACTTTGGTATTTTTTCCCCAATTCAATTCCCTGACTTTTGTTTAGATACAGCAGAAGTCTTGCGGTCAATTTTCCCCTTTGGAAAAGGATTTTGGTTTGAGTACAAATTAGTCACAGGAGCGCTGGTTTCCCCAGGCAATCTGCTCAGGCATTCCAAACAGGTAGCAATGTGTGTGTGAAAGGATAAGTGAGAGAACAGGTTTTCCTGGTTGTGAGCCGGAGCTCAAGGCTAGAGATGGTTAATGGAAAAAAGACTGAGGAGGAGCTCAGCTCTGCATTCCACAGTCTCCCTACCGAAACCACGGAGCCCCCCTCTCCCTTCTCTTCAACCTCGGTCTGTGCTCCCTACTTCTGCTTTTCATGAGAGAGGCAGCTCTGCTTGGGAAGGACGCTACCATTCCTACGCCACAGGGGCTGCAGGATCAGCTGGACCAGAGATGCAGGCACTCTCCATTCTCCTCCCCCCATTAGTTTCTTCTCAATAGTCTGATCCTGAAAAGGAGGGGTTGATGGGGGAGTTATCTGGCAGCCAGCTGATCTTTGCTGTGGTATTCTGCGAGGGAAAGGAGGAGACTGAAACTCTTCGCTACTCAGCCGTACTGACATAGAGGAAGCTGCTGTGAGAGACATCAACAGTCGCGTGAGAGGAAGGAAGCTGTGAAGCTTTTGCGACGAAAACATGCAACGCAGCTTCAAGACCACGTGAAGTATTGCCTGAGAAAAACATCTGCAAGAGAGGAGGAGAGAAATAGAGGCAAGGAGAGACTGACTCACTTGTTTGGATTCGCCCACAAAGTGTTCCTGTAGACGCTTGGCGTGTCACCAGCAGGAGGTCGAAGATGTCTTGGCTGTCACCCGTCCAATGGGCCAAATGGACCTGGTCTGCCGTTAGAGGAGGAGGAGAGGAGGAAGGTGAGACTGATTTGGGGATGGACGACGAACCCCTCACGGAAGAGGCGAGAGAGACTATACCACGATATCAAGAGGACGACGAAAGATCTCATGGCTGCAGGCAAGTCTAAAACCTAATGAACTGCACAGCATGAGGATGTGCTTTACAGAGAGGGACGAAGTTGGGGTTTCAGGTTGCTTTTGAGAGAGGAAGTATCTGTTATATTCCATCAGCGATTCTCTTAATTTCTTTTCTTAAATCACGTCCGGGTTCAAGATCAGCAATAGAGGCCAACCTAGGAAAGAGTGCTTTCAGAGCCACCTGTTTGAGTCTGATGATGGTGTTAACTGTTCTGAATGCTGTGCAGACAGCCATGGCTTAGCAGCCAGCCACATGGATCAAAGCAGTCAGAGATCAGAGGCTCTGAATGTCAGTGTCTGTTGGTGCTCAAGTCACGGTTGGGGAAAGTGGCGTATACACATGTTCGTTCATCTGTATTGAGTGTTCTTAGTGTGTTTGTGGGTGTTTTCAGCTGCATTGGGGGATTTCCTTAGGAAGTGTGCTTGGCTCATGGTCTAGCTGTTAGTCTAATGTCTCCCTGGGCTCAGATAAAGATCACAGTTTAACCGTTCTTCTCTCCCAACCCCCCAAATGTGACATGGCTAATTTCCTTGCCCATAGATAACACTATCTTTCCTGGCACTGTTTGTTAAAAAAGGAACCTTATTTGTTCTTCAACTCATTAGTAGTTCAGGGTTAAACTTAGGGTTTAAGTTTTGAAGGAACCAATAATCCTGACCACTCAAAGCATTCTTTTTTTAAACCAAAGCCAACACTGTTTTTATAAACTTAGGTTAATAGAGGTATTCAAACCATATGTCATATCTAGAGACCAACAGCCACTCATAGCATCATAACTCCTTACAAGTATTGTGCAAGCACATAGCTACTCTTCACAACAGCTTAGCATTGTTGCAGTGAGTTTAATCAGGCAAACACCGCTATTCCTTAGAATATCCATAAATGTAGCTTATCTCAATGTTTGTTTATATAATGTTTAATTAATATCTATCACCCTGGCAAAAATAATGTTTTGGTTTGGTTCCTCTGAGATATATTGTTGACATCCTGTCTATGTGCTGTTGTTGAACTGTCTGCTAACATTCCGTTCCTGGAAGAATCCTTTCTTTCCCAACGCCTCGCAGCCTGAGAGACTGCCGCAGATTAATCACTACACAGACCTGAACAATGGCCCAAAAGAGTGGCAGGATCATGAAAGTTGTAGATGTACTTAGAAAAGCACACAGTAAGCCACCCACACATTCTGTAGAGAGCTACTCATTTCTATGGAGCCCAGTGTGAGTCAACACAAGCAGCGTGAGATTTTATGAAAAACAGTGCTTTGGGCTTACCCTTTTAAAATAAGAGGATGTTTGAAGGTAGCAACATGATGAAAGTAATAATTTTGCAAATCTTTTTCTAAACCCTTTGATAGACCTACTGATAATATTTAATTTATGCAGTTTTTTCTTGCAAGTTCCTCTCTTTCTCTTGTGTTTGTTTGCCCAGCAAGTAGTGATTGCTTCCCTAACGGTATTATAGGACTGCAGGTGGCCTAGTGCAACAAGACTGGGCAGTTCTCCCAGATTTGTGGACCAATCTCTCCCTCTCTTTCACACACTAGATTAACAATTCTTCCTATTCAGCTCAGGCTCATGGCCTCTATGCTCTGTTGTGAGTGTGGTGTGAAAAGGATAGTTCACCCAAAATTTGAACTATCATTCTAATGATATGTTTACATAACAACAATGCAGTCTAAAAACCTTGTGCGTTTTGGCCATTCATATATAATCTACATAACAATTGGTGTTTTGGGAGCCTAAAAGACCACACCTTCAAAACCGGTTTCAATGTGTGATCTTCTCAAATTGCGAATTACGTTTACGAATAAAAAGGCCTTAAAACAGTGATCTCATGCATTAAGGATTATATGTTGAATCTATAGACAGGCTTGAGAACTTAAATGGGTGGTCCTTATTTTTAAGGCTTGATTGTGTACATTAGATTCAAAGCAATGTGTGCGTGTGCTTCATTTGTAGAAAATCACGTTATGTTTTCATATATCATACTTTGCTACTCAGCTAACATGAAACCAACTGTCAAATTTCCTAGTTCCTCCAAAATCCTTCCCTTAAGAGGCTCTGATTGGTCAGCTAACACAATGTGATGTGATTTGTGGATTGTAAATGCGTCACGCCTCCACAAGCACACTCTTTTGTTCTGTGTAAATACTGTCAGTCATAGTAGCTGTTAGCTGTATTAGTTTGATCCTGAATCAGACAGAAAATGAAGAGGGCACAGATAAACCTCATGCCTGTTCTCGAAAATAAAGTGTCTTTCATATAGATTCAGGTTATAAGCATGTGTAAGTAATATAAAACGTTCACGTATCTTTTGCGAGTTTATTATTTGAATTGTAGAATGCACAGAAAGCGGCCACATAGAGAGACACTGAAGCACTGCTGAAGATTAGGGCTGTTTACGGGGTTTGACCGAAAAATATGAATTTGTACCTAAATTGTTAACAGCATGTCCCATTGTTATTATCATTGTTTATGTCCTTGCTACAACATACCATTAACGCTAGAAACTGTGCATGTAACAGATCAGTTTTAACAAATAAAAATACTTACTGGTTGTGGCACACAATCCACAGCTTCTTCTATTATGGTTGGAGCTGCTCCTTCTTTGAGGAGTTTGAGATTCTGGAAGCTGCACTTTGTCAAATGCTAGACCTATATCTTTATTGAAATTCTCCGGAACATAATAAAAATTAAATTGTAAGCACGTCTTTGTGTTGTGTCCTTTGGAAGCCCAAATACAAAAACAGAAAAAGCTCTATGGAAATAGCAGCTTTAGGATTTAGGATTTTATCTTTCTCTGCTATGACGTTACAGCGCCTCTGGCCACACCCTTTTATGCTTCCATTCAGCATGCGGTAGGAACTTCCAATAAAAACAACACTCTTCCAGCAGTTTTTAGTTGCATCCAATTTCTCATTTGTCAAGAGGGGCATGCCGGAAATGTTCCCGAATAAAAGTGAAAGTGCCAAACTGCAGTTAAAGTCTACAAATTTGTAATGAAACACCCTAAATTACATGAAACTCCAGAGGAAAAGCGGATAGCGCGGTGACGCAAAGCCTAATCTAATTATGTGCTATAACATCATGTAAAACAGGATCATGAAAGAAACATTCAAAAAGCAACTCATGTAAAAGCCTTAATCTTATTTTTGTCTTAAGTAGATTATGGCAAATAATTCGATTACTGATGTCCATGTAAACGTAGTTAATGTCTCCCTTTGCATTGAACTTTAAGCATTTTACACTCAGAGTTGTTTGTTCAAACAGCTTCATTATACATCAACTAAAGTTTAAATATGATATCGTAGTGGACCACCCCTTTAAGAAATTATTACAAATAATGACAAAGATTAATAAGTAATTACATAGTGACTGGTCTAATGCATAATATTTTGTGGGTCTGTGTGAACAGGGATTGTTTTGAGTTTTTCACAAATGCAAAGGAAAGCATTTTTGTAGGCAACTGTACTGGTCATGTTTTTCCAGTTATTGTGCAATGAATGGCTCTCAAGTCAACATATGTTATATGCTGAAATGTAGGTCATTATTCCCATAAAATCTATCACATGCCTCTACACGTCTTAGAAAATAACAAAATAAATAAATAAATAGAAAATCTGCTTTAGTGACACTTTTATGTGTCCTCTCTGAAACTTGAGAGTGTAATGCATAATGCATTCTTTGTTTTTCCATGGAAGAAATAAAAGCATATGGGTTTGGGAACAACATGAGGATGAGTTCGTAATTCGTCAAAAGTGATTCATTTTCAAGTGACCTACTCCTTTTATGTAAAAAGCTCTTCTTACCACATACAACACAGCAGATAAAGTGAATATTGCAGAAAGTACTGGTGTAGCAGCTGGGATACATTGTTACTATTTAATGAGGACATGATGTGCTTAGTTTACTTTTGTTTTGCCAAAGGCTAAAGCTAATATGCAAAATGTTTTATTAAATATTGATGTCACTTGATGATCTGATGATGAATTTTTTACTTGTTCTGAGATGAGCATCATTTATCTGATTTAAATCAAACTGTGCCAAATAACCATTGCAAAGCTCTATTGTCAACATAGTAAAGTTCTAAGAACTGTGCTGTGACTAACAGGACTCTTTATTTTTCCATTAGTTCGGATTCAGAAGGACAGTTTGAGACGCCTGAAGCTGAGACACCTGTCCATCAGCCATTTAAAGAACTATCAGCACTGGATCAGCCAATCACAGAGAGCTCAGGTAAAGTAAGACCTCCTATAACTGAGAATCACACGGTAGATGTACAAAGCACCTGCCACTACACATGCTTCTGCTGCTCTCACGCAATGTGTTGTTGCCATGGAAACATGCAGAACGTATATCCCTTAGTGGTTTGTGAGCAATTTGTAAATGCTGGATTTTTTTTATGGATCAATCTTAATAGTATTGCTGATAGGATTTCATGTAATTCCTAATATTAATTGATGCTTTACCTTAAAATTCGAGTAGGCGTATTGATATTAATTACATTAAAATGTTAGCACAGATAATTTGCTTAAAAGGAAGCAAATAAATTTAGCCTGATTCATTTATTACTAAGAATAATCAATCATACACATTTCTTCATGCCCCAAAATCTTTCATTATAACAAATCAAATATAAAAAAAAGATAAAATTGTTTAGAAGAATGAGTTGTTTATGCTTTAGCCACTGTGATTTACAGTATAAGGCCTCAACAGGCTGTAAAATAAAAGCTCGATTTTGACAGCAGATTTCAGTTCCATTTCCTTATCTAGAAAAGTTTGTAGAAAAGCTTGTTTTCTTTATATTTTCCTCTCCACCTTCAGACATGTGTCCAATTTCAGGGCAGTGCACCATATAACTAACTGAAAACAGCTGCAAGTCTCCAGACTCTTTTTGAGGCGTTTTTCTGCCCATTAAAATCCCATAAACACACTTAAATCTGACTCGTCTCTACCATATGCATGTACATGAAAACATGTGTATCTTGTTATTTTTTTTCGCATTTTGAAATCTTATTTTAGAGTCTGAGTGAAGCTCTTTGTGGATGAGTTTCTGTGTTTTACGTTACAGAGATTCAGCAGGACGACACAATCTGGCCTCAGCTAGAATCAAAACAGTGCAAACAGTATTAGTTACTTAAGTGGAGGAGGTTTTGAGGTTGGAAAATAGAGTTTTGGGTAAAGAGAGGCCCCTGACCCAGTGTGGGAAAAGCGCACAGCTTGGAATTCAAGAGTTTGGAATTGAACAAAAGCATTCGCTCCACTCACAGCACTTTTATCAATGGACAAGGTCAAAGGCTTGCAGGCACGAACATCATGTGATTTAGATCTTTTCTCTAAATGACACACACAGACACACTGACACACACATTTGAACTCATTGAAATTTTGCTAGCTCACCATTTTTCTAATTTACTAATGCTGTCTTTTAGTTTACATCTAGAAAACTAAAATGCCAAGTTTTTGAGAAAGTTTTGTTGTGATTTGCAGCATACTTCAGGCTAAAAAAGGCAGTTTTTCCAAGCCTACGTGTCGTGGTTTGGATTGCTTGAGCAGACCGACAGTAAAAGTTTGGCTCCTGCTGCGCACAATCCAGTTTCCACCACAGACATCCTCATCCTCTCAGCAGTACAGACACACTCCAGTGCTAGCTGTCTGGAATAAACGTTTTCATGGCTAGCAGCGCTTTAGCCAGAATTTGTGGTTATGTAAACAGAAGGCTTCTTTTGTCCCTTCCCAAGGCACTAAATCCTGCTGCATCTTAGTCAGACATTAGTTTCTTTCAGACGATAGAGAATATGCATTATTTACTGTAGAATTGCCTTTCCTAACCATAATGCTCAGTCATGCACATGGTCATTGTTATTGTTCTTTAAGACTGAATTCATTAATATATGTGACAGCATTATATATTTGCCAGGGATAAGTGTTCTTATTATTTTTACCATTGTTATATAATCAAACCATTCTGACAAGTATCTCATTGGGTTGGAGATGGAAGCATTTGTGTTGTGTTAGTTCATGCAGACTGATGCAATTCCTGCTCACTTTGATGAAATAAACATGGTCAAGGCATAACACTCCCACCACAAAGAGGAAGCTCTAGTCACGGCTACTAGCACTGGTTGCATAACCGTTCACATTGTGCCTGATGATTCGCATGTTCACATGCCAACCATAGCTTTCAGAGACTGAAAGGATCAGGGGTCTTGAGCCCCTGCCTCTGTAATCTGTAATGATGACTGAAGTGTGCATTCTATACAAACATTATTGCCAGAGTGCTTTGCATTTGACCCATGGGGAGCACAGGACAAGATCCCAACTAAGGGGCACCTCTTCAAATGGAAATCAATTTCATGACTGCCACTTGTGGAGGTTTGTCGAAACGTTTTGTTTTCCAAAGTAGACTATCCTATACGCAGATACCAAGGAGCCTTGACCTCTGGACGTGATGACAAGAGCAACCCCAGAGACTTTTAAAAAGTGCTGAACTGAATGTTTTTATGTCCTCGATGAGAAGGGCAGCCTGATATCTCGTTGAACAGCGAAGGACAGTGTAGTGCCAGCTGTGGAGGAAAAGACACAAAGAGGAAAAGAAAGTTAAAACTTGGCGAAAGCAGGAGGAAGATTGGGTGTAGACCAACTATTGGAAGGTCTGTGGATGGGATTTTGTGATAACAATATTGTGCTGAAGGCTACAGTTGTGTTCATTTTGTACATGTAAAGCAAGTTCCCTAAAATGGTAGTTGGTAAAGCTCAAGTTCTTCTTTTTGGATGTACGGTAGATACCAATGTGTGACAGTTTAGACAGTGCTGGCATTAAAGTTGCATTAAAGCAATTTTCATGCAGTGTTACCATAAAACAGTCTTCGCAATTCTGTCCTAGGGACCCTCACTACTGCACAGTTTGTGTATCTTCCATCATCAATCACAACAAATTCAGATCTTCCAGCAGTTTACTAGTGGGAGGATGAGTTGAATTACTGGTTTTAGATAAGATAGACGTGTAAAATATGCAATGGGTCTAGGCCTCTAAGAGTTTTTGAGAAGGACTACCCTAAACAACTTACTCCAGGTCAATCCCCTGAAGCAGTCTGTGCTAGTCTGTTCAGTAGTTAAAAGTACAATCTTGTTGGGATCAGTCCTAAAACCTTTTGGTTACCAACCCTGACCCTCAACCTCTATAGTATATCCCTCGAACAAACCCAAACTCATGTCACACCCATCAGCACCAAGATTAATGTGTTGGGGCACTAACTGAATTTAGACTTATTTAGCTTAGAGAAACATTCTCCTCATCACTAGACATGTTCTTTCTTGCATGTAAATATTTAGAACAGATAGCAGCTAGTACGTCTCAATCTGAGGTCAGTGCAAAGTCATAGATCTCATTTATAAATAAATCTCTTCCTGTCTCTTAGCAACAGGCTGTTGCATCAAAACCCAGCGATGACTGCCAGTGGGACTGTTTGTCAATGAGAAGTGTGTTATAATGGCTACTGAAAGAGTGCTGACACAATTTCACACATAGTTACTACAACTGAAGTTGTATAGAGGCAGTGTCATGACACAGAAAGGCCATGTCTTATTTCTAGTACATCTGAAATGGGTGTGTTGAAACATCTAGACTACTTTTGTCGTTGATTGTTGCCTAAAGTTGTGCTGCTGCATTTTTATGCCTAAGAAAGGGAAGAGAGGACTATTGTTCAGCTCTTTGCATCCTGTCAGAAGCATTTCCTGCCTTTTCTGTCGTAAGGAAGTCTGTTCTTCAAATATCCTATAGGTTGAACAATAGAGCAAATAGTATGTGCTCTAAGTATATATGAAAGGAAAAGTGAAAACTCCCTGATAGTATATTAGGCGAACGTACTATATTGCAAAATATTATTGCCATATTTCAACAAGATAATTCTATAAATGATCTAGACTGTGATATGAAGTATACCTCTTCTACTTTCTACAGGTTTCTCAGAAGAATATGTAAATCATTTGACTGCCATCACAACAAAAACTCAGAATCTGACCTTGGAAAAGAGCTTTGCTGAGGATGCACCTGCAACAGTCCTGCGGCAGAGCAGTCTGGACTCCACCCCAACCCTGAAACCTAAGTACCAGCTTTCATCTGTTGACATGGATGTGGACCAGCCTGATCCTGATGATGCAGGTGCAACAGAACACAGCAATATCTGCAATGGTCACATTGAGGAACCATCATCAAAACCACAGACCAAGTCTCTCAAGGTTAGACCTCCTTCTCTCCAAGTGAAGTCCCCACTGAATGGTGTTGACCCCAACGAGGTGGACGATGATCCTCCGATACTTCCGAAGGGGAGCTATAACTTTGACCTTGATCAGGTTAATGAAACCATGAATCCATTTCCAACTGGTGGGTCCAAGTTGCAGAATTCTCCACCTGCCAATGCGAGTATTCCTAAATCAGAGTTGATGGATGAAATGCCTGCACAGCCAGTTTTGCTTGAGTTTGGACTTGATGATACTGAAGTCAAGACAGACCCACCCAAAAAGTCTGGAAAAAAGACAAGCAGCAAGCTGACTACTCCAAAAAAACTGCGCCCAAAAGCTGCAGAAACTGCAGCTCCACTACCAGAGACATCCTCAGAACAAAGCCAACAACCACCTGAAAACGCGGATCTCATCAACGTTGATGATATTCCTATTCCTAAAAAATCCTACAACTTTGACCCAAATCAGTGGGACGATCCCAACTTTGATCCATTTGGTGGGAAACAAAAACTTAGCAGCTCGCCGACGCTTCCTAAAGGATCGTATAGTTTTGACCCAGATACATTTGATGACTCTGTTGACCCTTTTAAGTCATCAAAGTCTTTAGGTGGAAGTGACTCTGTTAAACCAACATCTGAGAAGCTAACAGAGAAACTCAAATCTGACGGAACTCCAGAGCAGCGTAAGAAAGCTGGACAGTCTCCGAAAAAAAGCAAAGACAGGATCCTCACGTGAGTGATTATGCCTGACAGACACCCATAAAAGCTGTTGTATGTTTTATCTGTGGCTTTGTGTTGTGTTCCTAGCTAGCTGTTGTGCCTAAAATTAGCAAGGGCGAGCAGTTTGCATCCACTAACATGTTACATTCTTTTCACTTTGTGTTTTTATTTTATTGTTGGTGTTCTATTTGTTTTTTTTTTACATCTCAACTGATAGTCTAATCACACATCTTTCACATGGCCCAATATCACAGTTTACTGTCAAAAATGTCATGGCAGTCATATTTACACTGTCATGCTGTACACTTTTCACTAAACTATGGCATTGACTAACCAGCTCCTATTTGTTTGGGAAGCCAGGAAGCTTGATCTCACTCCTACCTAATTTTTTTTCATGCTTCGTTTTTGCCCTCTAATGTCTTACGGCACGTCCCTCTCCACATCCCCTCCTCTCTGTGTCTGCTTTCTCCCTCCCCGTCCCTCCCTCTGTCATACCGTCCTCAGGACCACTGAGCAAGTGCGGTTTCTCTGTTTTCTATTGTAAGTATCCTCTCCTGCCCTCCTTTCCTGTACTATGACTGTAACCTCTTCTGTCCCATTGCATGTCATGAGCTTTGCTGAAGGCTGAACTGCCCTGTGGCTACGAACCACGTGCAGTATCAGTCCTCCAAACAAACTAGGGCAGAAGGTCTTATTTTATTGTATTCAAACTGTTCAGGCAGACAGTATTGATTTAGACCATGGGCGTTTTGTAACGATTTTTAAGTATGACCCTTTCACTGTAACCATCAGATTAGCAGATTAGTAGTTTAGATTGGTATTTTCACTGAAGTGTTATTATCAAGCACTTATCGGTTTGTAGATTGTAAATAAGTATGGTAGGTTGTTTGTTTTGAATAGAATGACTATCACTATTTTTTGAGTGGTTAGCCAATGAATTTAAAGTGTTAAAATCTAGATAATAGGCTGACTGGCCACCCTAATGCTGATGATACTGGTTATATGGGATATAATGGAGTTTAAATGTTAAATATATTTATTATTTTAGCAAAATTTAGCATTTTTAATCACACCCACAGGTGTGACTGCAGCACCTATGCTAAAGCTTTAGCTTTAAACACATTTGCAGGCACATCAACATCTATATATATATATATATATATATATATATATATACACATACACACATAGGGCTTGATATTAACAGCTATCAACCCACCAAATGCGAGTAAGCTGTTAGACAGACACTCCCACCAGCCACTTTGGCTGGTTGAAAGTAACGCTTAAATTGCAGTTCTATTAAAAGCAGGATTCGACAATAAGGATGGCTAAATATTTGTGCAAATGTGATCTTAGAATCGAGAAGCAGCACCACTGACAAAAAAACTGTTCGCGTGAGCAAAAGAAAGCAGGTGAATACAGAATGAGAGGATGATCACTTGCGCGCACAGGTGTTGTGATACGCGCGACTTTTAAAAAGCGTGCACGCCCCCGTTTACTTGCACGAAGCAACCGTGCCTTATGGAAATGCAACTGCTGCGATCGATTCTCTTTGAAATAGACTGGACAAAAAGCAATGATCTTGCACCCACAGTCCTCAAAAATATATAAAAATATCCTTTTGTAAGCAGCAGTGGTCACTGCCTTAGTTTTAATTATTCTTTGAACAGATTAGCAGATCTAACATTTACAGTGTGTGTGTGATCATCCTTTCATTATCATTGCATGTTTCTTCTTACCTGCTTTCTTTTGCTTACAGTTCTTTTTGTTAATATAATTTAATTTTATATTTTTTTTACAATAACATTGCTTTAATATGAGATTAACTCACTAATTATGTGTAGTGAACTGGTGATCTGGGACCTTTAGCCAGGTCAGATTACTGTGCATATTTTAGATACATGACAATAGTTATTTTTAAATGTAATTTATTTTTAAAGATCAGTTGTTGAATTAAAAAGTGCATGTAAACAGCTATATTTTGCTTGTTTTGACACATTTACAATTTGTGGCTAAGAAATAATAATTTATTTATTTTTGGTGTGGTCAGAGATCAATTTGTTAAATCATTTTTAGCCCTGAAAAGTCATGTGAAATAAAAACATGTGATTAAACAATAAATAAAAGCAATACACAACACAGAAAAAGGGAAATGAATGAGGAGGCATGTGGACAACACAACATCTAAATCAAGTAATCTTAGCAAATCAAAGTTAAATGGATGCATATAAAATATATATATAATATATTTTCCTACCAACAAAAGTGTGGCAATTTGATTTATTTGATTTTTTTATTTATTTGTTGTGTTTTATTTGATGCTAAGGTGCATAATTTTAAACATATCTATTTGTAAAATTATGAATGAAAGATTGTTTTTAATGATTTTAATTATTATTGTTTATGATAACTTTTCCTCAATGTTTACTTAAAAGTCTATGAACAACTGTGCATTATCCATTGACAAGATGTTCTAAATTTGAGAAAAACATCATGACAAGTGTCAAGAGTAAACAACAGCCAGGTCAATATATCAATAATAATATATAAAATATCTGTGACGTAATAATACCATTAACCTACCGCACATGTCAATACTGTAGACTTTAAAAAGTTACAATTGTGAAAAAAATGTTTCTTACATGTATATACTGATGTAATAACTATTCTTTCTGCAGGAATTCATGTAAAGTCAAGAAGTATGAGAATCAGTCCTTAGTCCTGGATGTCTGTGATCAGGTAAGATTTCCAATAAACTCTAAATTGTATGCATTTTTCTCTATGTGGCTATTATTGCTAATATTCAACTTGTTAAAGCCATATTTCTCAGCGCGTTAAAGCATGTTAACAATATTCTAGCAATGTTTTGTAAATTGTAACATGATAATATACACTTAGCAATGGAAAGAACCATGTTAGTAACACAGAATAAATCTGTTAAAACATCAACATAAAGTTTTCTTGACTTTTTTTATATAGTTTGCAACATTTTCCCTTGAAGGACCTCTAACTACATTTTGAAAATATTAAACTCACATTACACTATTTGATTGGTGGTTAGATCATCATCAATCATATCTTTATCAGCGCATTTTGAGAATAGTTTAATCTCATCTTGTTAGCTGTGCATAATATGTCTCTGTGTGTGTGTTTTTGTGGCACAAGTAAATATAATCGAGGATTGCGGTATTGTCTTGGACTCTATAGTTACTGCAGTGACTCAGCAAAGATGCTCCTCACAGTCTCTCTCTCTCTCTCTCTCTCTCTCTCTCTCTCTCTCTTTTTCTCTCTCTCTCCCAATATTCTAGTCTGAGCAAACCCTCATTTATTAAATGCAGTATCTCTATGTTACTGCCCTCTCTTAACCAGGACAATAGTTTGCATGTGTGTGAGGGAGAGAAACTGGATGCAGTTTCCAAAACAGGTCACCATGTCCCGTGCTTTTGTTCTAGAGACATTTTTAAGAACAAAGTTTGACATGCCATAAATAATTTTGAAGACAGTTCAATTATTTCACCTGAATTGAAATGCTGTTTAGTATGCTTAGCATTTTAGCTTCTTATAACATGAATATAATTATTCATGGTGTGTATAAAGTGTATCATGTCTATAATATACTTTTGAATTCACAGGAGAATGATGTGCAGGAGGACTCCGGGTCTAAACTGTCCAACCGAGTCCATCATGCCACAGACGAAGAGAAATTGGCCTCCACTGTCATGATCCAAAAGGACGGGACAGAGGAGTTTTCAGACTACAAAACAACCACCTGTACCAAGACTGCAGATGGTGAGGGAATGTTTGTGAGCATTGTGCTGCTCAGTTCGTGTTTATTCTCAGATAATGAATCAATAATCATTAGAGAGTGGGTCAATCTGTCACTAATGAGGTCTAACAAGCACTGCTGTGTTTGGTCGGACAGTTTGGAGGTATTGTGCAGACACACAACTCTGGTGAATGCGAAACAGACTTGCTTGTTGTGTTTGCTCCTCTCTTTTTTTAGGAAGAAAAGAGCCCTCTGTTCTCTTGGCTGGTTAATTTGCACAGTACACAGTTGGAGACAACCCTGTTTATCCTATTCAGTTATAAATAAGATATATTGAGCCACATGAGAGCAGATGTTTTGCAAGATTGTTTTCTTTGTCACATGAAGTCGATGAAATTCATTAGGTAATGTAGTTGTTGAAGCAGAGATCCCACTGAAATATATGCATTGATGCCTCATTAGTGGATGTGTTTGTGTGACTCTATACAAAAGCTATACTCCATATTGAAATTACGGCTGCACAATATATAGTTTCAGCATCGATATCTCAATGTACGAATCTGCAAAAGTCACATTGCAGAATCTACAATATGAAGTTGGAGTTATAAACAATTGAAGTCAGGATTATTAGCCCCCCTGAATTATTAGCCCCCCTGTTTATTTTCCCCTTCAATTTCTGAGAGAAGATTTTTTCAACACATTTCTGAACATAATAGTTTTAATAACTAATTTCTAATAACTGATTTCTAATAACTGATTAATTTTATCTTTGCCAAGATAACAGTAAATAATATTTGACTAGTTATTTTTTCAAGACAATTTTATTCAGCTTAAAGTGACAGTTAAAGGCTTAATTAGGTTAATTAGGTTAACTAGGCAGGTTAGGGTAATTAGGCAAGTTATTGTATAATGATGGTTTGTTCTGAAGACATCGAAAAATATATAGCTTAAAGGGACTAATAATTTTAACATTAAAATGTTATTTAAAACAATTAAAAACTGCTTTTTTAGTTTTCCTATTTATTCTGCTTTTAGCCAAAATAAAACAAACAAGACTTTCTCCTGAAAACGTCCTTGCTCTTTTAAACATCATTTAGGAAATATTTAAAAAAGGAAAAAAAAATATTCAAAGGGATTTAATAATTCTGATCAGAACATGTTATTTGATTACTGAATTTTTTTTATTTTCAACTTTATTTTTGTTTTCAACTGTACTTTATTTATCTATTTACTCATTTATTTATTTATTTATTTTTACAGGGACAATGTACAACATGACATATTGTGCCAGAGTTAGCTACAAAGCTAATTTACATATGTAGTCCCTGGGTAGCGACGAAACCTGCAAAAACAATAAATAAATAAATACGCAAATATTTAAATAAATGAGTAAATAAATAAATATTTCTGCATAAATTTCAGCGTAAATAAAATAATAAACAAATAAATATGCAAATAAACAAATAAATGTTTATAAAATCCACAAATTCCTGCATAAATAAATTTATAAATAATGAATAGTGTTGGGGAAATATTATTTTCCCCTCTTCCGAATGTTTATTCAATCATTCGCATTAGCATGTTGACCTGAGGAAAAGTAAATACGGAACTACGTTCAAGAAATGAATAAACGTTTGAAAGGGGGAAAAATAAGCTTTCGATTTGTCATAGCCTTTTTCCCCAACATTCGTGTAATTTTATATACATTTTATATATGTTTTTTTTTATTTTCATATTTATTTATTTAATGTCTTATTAATGCAGGAATTTATGGATTTCTTTAGTCTTTTTTGTATGTATTTGCATAATTACCTATTTATTGTTTTAGCAGAGTTCATCCTCCATACGTGGGCAAAAAGTTGTTACAAGTTTAACAATATAAAAATATATATAAATATTACAATATACACTTACAGTACAACACACACAATACATCATAGTCATCAAAATGAAATCAAATCAGTGGTTGCATATTTGATTTTCTTTAATTTGTTTATTGTATTTTGCCTTATTTTGGATAATTTTGAATATTTTATGCAGATGCGTTTACATGCAAAATCATCCCAACCAATGTAAAACTATGTATTCTTTCCACATAGTTGCTTAAGCATTATTGTGAAATTTTATTCATATTGCAATATATATTGCAGAAAAAACAAAGCATGTCAATGTCAGTTTTTTCCAATATCATGCTGCCTTAATTGGAATGGTCAAGAAGAGAGCAAGTGACTGTATCCTTGTGTATAAATATGCTATAGTATAAATCATTTTTCTAAACTAACACAATGCAACAATAAAGGCAATAGCTAACGTTACTTAAAAAGTTGTTCGGGAATCTGCAACGAGTTAATAAATGCAAAAAATACATTACAAATATAAACCTACACTTACCTGTGAAGGGTGTCACGGAGGTGCAATGGGTAGCTCGGTCGCCTCACAGCAAGAAGGTCACTGGTTCGAGCCTCGGCTTGGTCAGTTGGCATTTCTGTGTGGAGTTTGCATGTTCACCCCGTGTTCACGTGAGTTTCCTCCGGGTGCTCTGGTTTCCAAGTCCAAAAACATGTGGTATTGGTAAATTGGGTGGGCAAAATTGTCTGTAGTGTATGAGTGTGTGTGAATGAGTGTGTATGGATATTTTCCAGTGATGGGTTGCAGCTGAAAGGGCATCCGCTGTGTAATGACATATGCTGAATAAGTTGGTGGTTCATTCCCCTGTGGCGACCCCAAATTAATAAAGGGATTAAGCTGAAAAGAAAATGAATGAATGATGGCATAGCTGTCCAAATTGGACAAATTAGCTAATGTATGAGACAAATTCTGGATCTGTGGTGGGTGGATCTTTCGAACCCCCCTGGTTACAGGCCTGAAAATAACGCAAACAGTTTTAAGTAAATAGCCTACTATTAACGACCATGGCGTAGTGATAATCCCCGTTACATTGTCTTTAAATCAAAATACGGCTTTTACCGTTCCGTGTTGTTTCCATAGATATTCCAGCTTTTTAATTTTCTTTAAATTTAGTGGTTTTGTGAGGATGAAATGAAAATGAATTTAGTTCTGCGCTTGGTCTGATTGCAAGTGAGACTGTTTCTCACACTAGACTTGTGTGCCCTCTATTGGCTACTTTATGAATTGTTTTCAGTTTTCTTTAACGTCTCAGAGAGATTTTATATGCTTTTTTAGGCTTTTATATTCTCATATTATTTAAAATGTTTATTGATATTTTCCTGTTCACATTTTCCTGATTCTAAATCTCTCTATATAGACCATATGGAGGCATGCAAACAATAACAATGGTCCTAACCTATTATTACATTTTTAATTTCCATAAGTTAAGGTAAAGGTAAAAAAATTTTTACTGTCCCAGTTAGGGAAATTTGTCTTGGGCTCCTGCCCTCAGCTGCAGTCATCACAAACATGAAAAAAAAACAATACAACAAATAAGTATTTCAATAAATATAAGTTACATGCCCCTCTCCATATATATATATATATATATATATATATATATATATATATATAAAAGCAAAAACAGATACTCTCAGTTTAAGCCGCCACTATTATTTAATGCTCATAGGATAAAAATAATTCTTATATCTATTTAATCTACAACATGGTACTTTGAACCTTTTCCCCAAGCTCATACTCCTTGTGCAGAACATGTGATACGTCTCAAACTCGTTCAGCACATCTTAATGCGTCCTGTTCATACATAATCTGCAGTGACATCTGCTCTGTTACACCAATAATTTTCCAGCCAGTGTGAATTAAACAAACTACTTTAGATCTCAGCTGCACAGAAAAGTTGCCAAGCCAGACTGTGATGCTGTACCTTATTAAACTCTCAAACATAGTTTCCAAAAATCCAAAAATGTCCACATATTGATAAATAATGTTATGACAGCTGTTCAAAAGTTATCATGATATGATTAAATTGCCTCTTGCTGCAGTTAAAAAATAGTTGCAGGAAATGTTCATGGCCACATTGTAATGATCTATAAACATTATTACAAACAATTCAAACAAAGTGACATTTCATTCATTCATTCATTCATTCATTCATTCATTCATTCATTTTCCTTCGGTTTATTCCCTTATTTATCAGTGGTCACCACAGAGAAATGAACCACCAATAGTTGACTCTTTAAATAATTGATCATTTAATTTATTTATTTAATTATTTATTTCAGATCTGCCAGTAGGAATAACAGAGCAATTTGAAGAAAAAGATCTCTCCTCTCCGGTAAGCTTTTATTGGTTACTACAATATATATATTAGTTATGGCAATTGTTATTCAATACATTCCTGTATCAGAGTACTATAAACACATGAGCTATAATAGCAGAGCAGAGCTATATATCTGCATGACAATGACTCATAATTATAAGCCCATTAAGAAGATTATGATGTCCACAGGCCTTAATCTGCTCAAGGGCAAACTAATAACTGGGTCAGAGGAAAGACTGTAGTCATTGTTTCATCTTAATGGGAAAAAAATGTAGATGTTACCATGTAATTACCATTTAATGTTATAAAGTTTACAAATAATGTGTAATTTCTGCATTCATGTTTGTTCTGCAGAGTGAGAGTCTGTGTAAAAGTTATACTCTGAGCTCTTCAGACAGTGAGACCATAGTGAAGACAAGTCCAGGGCTCGATTCCATCCCTCTCAGTGAGATTGATAAAGCAGCAGTGCTCACGCTGATCAGAGAAGAGGTACACTGTTCTGAAAAACTAAATTAATCAAGACTATATAGGAATGAAAACAGTATATTTATCACTTTTATTAAATGAGCAAGTTGGTTTATGTTTCTTTTGTCTGAAATTGCAATCTGAAATTGAATTTAAAAGTGTGTCCGCATGTCTGTGTGTGTTTTACCTGTAGATAATTGCCAAAGAGATTGAAGCCAATGAATGGAAGAGGAAATATGAGGAGGGTAAACTGGAGGTCACTGAAATGAGGTACATTCTTATCTAGAGCCCTTCCCAGAATGCACCGAGCTTAATACCTGCATTGTACAGTCAAATAGTTTAAATGAACAAAGAAGTTTAACTTATACTGATAATTATTTATGGGAGAATTGAAAGAAAGTGTATCAAAAATTATTTCATCTTCCATCTTTTTAGTCTTTCATTTTTCTTTAAGTGAAATTAATTTGTAAGTCTTTTTAAACAATACATTTTGCACATTACTTAAGTAAGCAGCTATGAGTTGATTCCCAACCTTACAAGCTTTGATTTGAAGCAAAGAAATATATGAAAATCAGACAGAAAGACAAATAAAAACTGTATTTAATGGCTTTCATGAGGCAAAGTAGTTGTACAAATCATTACAAATGAAACATTCAATTTACAAATGTAGTATAAAAGAAGTGTTGGTTGTAAAAGTATATTTATTATATATATCTACCTCAAAGCTTCTACAGGGCCTGACTTTAAAGGTTACATTTATTGTACATGTGGCCACTGAGTCAACATGCTTACCTTTAAAAGTCACCTTGCAGTTGTTGTAACACTAAAACCTTTTAAACATTAATAAATTCTGTATCCCACCTTAGGAAAATAGTGGATGAATATGAGAAGACGGTAGCGCAGATGATAGGTGAGTGATCGGAACTCACCAACATCATTTTTAATAATATTTTAGTTTGCATATTTCTAAATTGCTGCTTTTTTGTTTCCTGGAAATACAGAAGACGAGCAGCGAAAGAACATAGGATCTCAGAAAAGTGTCCAGCAGTTAACTTTAGAGAGAGATCAGGCTCTCGCTGACCTTAACTCAGTGGAGCGATCGCTGTCTGATCTGTTCAGGCGCTACGAAAATATGAAGACTGTCCTCGAAGGCTTTAAGAAGGTCAAATATTCTCTTTAATGTTCAGAATGCTGGATACATAAATGATCATGTACTGATAATTCTGCTGGTCTCTTCTCAGAATGAGGAAGTGCTGAAGAAGTGCGCTCAGGATTACCTTACACGTGTGAGGCAGGAGGAACAGCGTTATCAGACCCTCAAAATCCACGCTGAGGAGAAACTTGACAAGTAAGAATGATATTACACTATTAAAATTGATCCCTCAGTTTTCCATATGCTCATTTCTTTTTATCAATGCATCCTGGAGAAAATGTCTTTCAATATAAGTAATTTTCTACCAAATTCTGAAACGTGATATATTGTAATTTCCCAGTACAGGGTTGCGGCTGGAAGGGCATCCGCTGCGTAAAACAAATGACAGAATAGTTGGCAGTTCATTTCACTGTGGTGACCCCTGATAAATAAGTGACTAAGCTGAAGGAAAAGGAATGAATGAATGATATACTGTAATGTTAAACTTCAAGTAACGTCTTTATTTTATAGTAATTCTGCTTGAAATCAGATGATTGAAGTCATATCCTATATTTTTGATGTGCTTAATTGTTAGCAACATGTTAGCAGAGTGCTAAAACATGCTAGCAATGTTTCAAAACATGCTAAAAAAACATAAAACTACCTCAAATTCTTTCAAGCCAATATCAAAGTGTTGACAAGAAAAAATTGTGGTATGCTAAAGCTAAAAAAAGTAGAAGTGTCGGTATTGTTTTCCAGTGTATATCCATTTTCCCTTGCACTGCTGTTGTTTTGCAGAAACCCATCCACTATTTATTTAAGTTAAATCATGGTCTGTTGTCATTTTTCATTCTGATTGGCTGGAAGGTGTACAATAAATGTTTTAAATGTACAGGTAATTCCCTGTCAGTTTTGATCAAATAAATGGACTTTCCACAAACATTAGCATTTCCCATAATAACTCATTTACTCATCTGTGTAATCTCAAGAACATTTGCGACTTGTGCTTTACCAAGAGCCAATAGAGATCAACCAACTAATATGCTCAAATATATTTGCAGAGAGGTAGCTAAGTCATGTTACTATGAGTTATATGCCAGGCAGCGATGTAAACACAGTACAGCTAGACTAATAAGTAGGGCCAGACGGAATCTGCGGATGTTTTTTGCTATTTCTGCGGAGAAGTTTGGTAAAAATCTGCAGATTTCTGCGGAATTATTTTGGGAGTATCCAGCGGAGTATCAAAACTAAAACCTTAATACATGAAAAAAAAAGTAATAAATTACTGAATAAAAACTAAATAAATTTAGATTTACACTTTAACTCAAGTTAATTAACAGAATTAATGATGGGCTAAAAATCTGCAGAAATCTGCGGAATTCTGCGGAAAATCTGCGAAAACTGCGGAATTCTTGCTCGCGCAGATTCCGTTTGGGCCTACTAATAAGTCTCAAATGATATCACCCAGCCATCAAAGTATGATAATTACTGTATATCCCAATGATTTCTGCAATGCAGAAAACGTTGACATGATGAAAACAAGTTATAAAATTTAGAATTAGCTGTAAATAGTGCTGGAATTTGACAAAAACGTGAACATAAATGTTTTAACAATTAAAATGTATAGTCCAGAAAAGAAATCCATAAGCTGTATGCACTTATATAAAAGATATCTAAACATAACTTGACTTTTTTGTAGACTTGATTGATCTCTAATCTGTGTTTGCTTTTGCAGAGCGAATGAGGAAATAGCTCAGGTGCGATCTAAGGCCAATGCAGAGAGTGTGGCGCTGAATGCCAGCCTGAGAAAAGAGCAGATGAAGGTGGACTCCCTGGAGCGGGCGCTCGAACAGAAGGTAAACTCTCACACATACACCTCCACAACACAACACATCATGTAACCAGGGTTACCACGCTTCATGAAAGTCTGGATAGCACTTGAATTTCAGACATACGGATTCAAGGCCTGGAAAGTATTAGGTCCTTCAAAGTGCTTGAATTAAATTTGAAATAAAATTAGTTTTTGGTATTATTTGCTGTCAAAAACAAAGCAAAAACAGAGATATTCTTTATTTAAAAATCTTACATAATTTTTTTATTTTTACGATAAAAATGACTAATAATGCACATTTAATCATTTTTTTTAATTCAACAAATTTTATTAAAGTTTTCTGATGATTACTATAAATAAATTCAACACTTTTAATATAAATATTTAATGTTAAGTACAGTAAGGACTTTTTATGGCACTACATATGCTGGGTTATGAATTAAAAAGATGCGTGGTTTAAAATAAAAGTCCTTGAATCTGGTGTCCATGAAAGAGTGGGAACCCTGTGTAAAGTCAAAGACTTGTTTCTAAAAAAAATGTTTAAAAATCCCTGTTATTATTTCCAGAATCAAGAAATTGAAGAGCTCACTAAAATTTGTGATGAGCTCATTGCAAAACTGGGCACAACGGACTAAGAGAAAAGAAATCCTGCTTATAATGCCATGTCTGATCCAAACCCACCCCGACCAACAACGTCTCTGGATCTTGCATTTTTTTCTTTTGGGGAAAGAAGTCACTTTTCCATGAGTCTGGCTCAGGCAATGGAAGAAACAACTAGATATGAGCTGAAGAAGGATCAAATAAAACGGCCCCAGACGCTCTTTACAGAATCAAAAAAGTGCTGACGTGGGACTTGCACCTCAATTTGGTTGTATAAAATACGGATGGCTGGAAAAACCACCCACATTTGAGCATTTGGGAGAAACTCTGTTCAGATGTTCGTGTAAAGGAACAGACATGCATTGAGGGACTTTGGCCTTGTTCATAGTTTACATGATCGCACTGCTGCTATTTGTAATGGAGGGAGCAAATCATATTATATTCAACTTCTTTTAGATACGTTACTTGCATTGGAAAGTACTGTAAGTGTTACCTGTGTAATTATTTGATTATATATTAGAGGTCATCATACGGATTTGAAAGCAAAGTTCCAGGTTCAGCACAAATAAGTTGAAATCAGTTGAAATCACTGGTGGTTTAATGCTAATTACTACAAAATATCTCCCCTGACTTGTCTCAACAATCTAGGCTAGTGAGGCACTTGTAATTGTGTGAATGGAAAATACGGTAAACTACAGTCAAAGTCGGAATTATTAGCCTAGCTGTTCATTTTTTTCTCCAATTTGTGTTTAACAGAGAGATTTTTTCAACACATTTCTAAACATAACAGTTTTAATAACTCGTTTCTAATAAGTAATCTCTTTTATCTTAGCCATGATAACAGTAAATAATAATTGACTAGATATTTTTAAGACACTAGTATTCAGCTTAAAGAGACATTTAAAGGCTTAACTAGGTTAATTAGGTTAACTAGGCAGGTTAGGATAATTAGGCAAGGTGTTGTATAACAATGGTTTGTTTTGTAGACTACCTGAAAACATATATAGCTTAAAGGGGCTAATAAATTTGACCTTAAAATGGCTTTTAAAAAATTAAAAACTGCTTTTATTCTTGCTGAAATAAAACAAAAAATTTCCTTGCTCTGTTCAACATAATTTGGGGAATAATTTAAAAAAATCAAAGGGGGGCTAATAATTCTGACTTCAACTGTATACTTCAGTAGTGTAGCTACATGACATAAAATAAAAACAGAAGTGCGAAAAACTAAACTTTTCTATGTAAAATTGCCATAGCAACAAAACATAATTAAATAGCAAGTATGCATGTTTAAACTGAAGAGTAATATAGTGCTTTTTTTTAATTATAAGCTAAATACAAAATATTTTTAAATCTGCCGTTGTAAGTGCCTCACTCATTATGACATCATAATGGCATTCTGACATTGCAGTATACATTATGACATCATAATATCCATCCTGACGTCATATCTCAACACATATAGGCCCAATCCCAATTCTATCCCAATCCTACCCCTTAGCCCTTACTCCTATGTCCCAATTCTTTTTAGCCTGAAGGTGTAGGGCTAAGGGGAAGGGCTAGATACCCTTTGAAATGGAGATTTTTTAGGACCACACTCAAAACCAAGGGGTAAAATAATTTCCCAGAATACACCAACTACAACAACGGCTGCTCACAGATGTAGGAGATGCACAAATTTGTCATTATTAAGGATTTTTACAGCAAACAAGCTTGTTTTAATACATTCATAATGGCGATTGTGTTTTACCGTCATGCTTTAAAAAATAAATAAATAAACAATACGGCTAAATTTCGCTATCTATAATCCATAACAATAACTCTTGTATAGCAGTCCCACATCATTGTCACTTGATGACACTGGAGTACCCTTCAGAAAAGTCTAGTGGCTGGGAATGAGCTTTTAACAGTGTCTGCTATGTTAATGTTGATTTTGTGTGTTTACATGATGAATATGGCCACTTTGTAAGTGCACAGTATTTCGATCTTATTACCACATTATATTGTTATGATTTACGTGGCGTATGCCTTCAGTGATTTACTGAAAATGAATACCAAAAAGTAACACAACTGGAATAACTACAGCAGTCGCCAACATTGATCTCATGTGAAGCAAGAGATGGCGATGACATATGATGATGTGTGCTGATGTTGTAGTGGTGTCCCTTTTTCAGGAGTAAGCCCTTCCTCTTACCAATATGTTTTAAAGGCCAAGGGGTAGGGGTACAAAAATATTGGGATTGGGCCATCGTGTCAATGGTATTGAATTCGTAATATTCCATACCTTGTTTTTCTTGCTGGATTGTAGGTGAGAAATGATCATAATTCGTCATGTTTTCAGAAGTCCCGATGGTTTAATTATTTGTAGTCATTTCCTCATTGTCATAATCATTCGTAATTATCAAAAAAGCGCTTAATTATTAAAGCGCTTGCTTTGCCAAATCGGACAACACAGAAGCAAACTGAAAGCACTTATTAATGAAATACTTTAATTTTCATCATTTGCATGATTTATGAAGTTCGACCCAAGTTTACTCTCTGTTTTCTTGTGCTGAGTCAGTTGATGTCTATGGACCGAATCACTTTCAAGTCATTCAATGAACTTGTTACTAGAATTGACAATCCTTAGCCAGACTTGCTACAGTGTGCCTGAATTTCTGAAGTGATGCTTTCTAATGGCTGTTGTTGTTGTTGTTGATGTTGTTTATACCCACAATTCCTCTGTGCTACAGTATCTTATGCAATATTTCAGCTCAGAATAACCAACTGCCAAATGAAACCGCTCTTCATGTGCCAAACATTTCCGGGTTGTGTGGAGAAATAGAGCCTGTAAATTGTTGTGTTATTGTTTCAAGAAGATGTTGCTGTTCTTTACAGTACTCACTGACCTGTGTATATTTTTATGAAAAGAAAGAAGTGCTTTTATTGTGTTATTAATGTTTGTATAGTGGAAGAGAGAGAGGGAGAGAGTTGCACAGATATCCCATTGACTAATATATATTTTGTGCATAAATGCATCCCCTGAATAAAGTAATAATTAGCTTGATGAGTTTCTGGTGTTGATATTTTAAAATAGGCTGAAAAATATGTATATGGACTAAATTTAAATAAATTAAGTGGAACATTTCTAAATTATACTAGTTTGTTTACATTCAGCCCGTATGAATATTTTAGTAAATTTAATGAATCTTTAATTACACTATAATATTTTCCTGAAATTATGACACTACATGAACTTTAAAGCAAGTTGTTCCAAACCCACAAGAAATTCATTCATCTTTCTGACTATACATGTAAATTTATTTATGCAAGGCAAGGCAAGTTTATTTATATAGCACGTTTCATGCACAGTGGCAATTCAAAATACTTTACGTAAACAAGAATAAAAAAGACAAGTATTAAAAACATTGATTAAAATGATTAAAAACAGATTAAAACCGATTAAAATGTGTTAAACAGGTTATTAAAGAATAAAAAAAGAAAAGAAAAACATAATAATGCGATCTGTCGGACGTAGCACAGTGCTCATTCAGTAAAGGCACAGCTAAACAGATGTGTTTTCAGTCTTGATTTAAAGGTGCCTAATGTTAAAACACATCTGATCATTTCTTGGAAGCTGATTCCAGCAGCGAGGGGCGTAGTGGCTGAAAGCTGATTCACCCTGCTTTGACTGAACTCAACTCAAACTGAATTTCTAGTTTATTTGATCCTAAAGATCTGAGTGATCTGTTGGGTTTGTTTTCAGTGATTATTTAAATATGTATTTAAAGCAGTTAATTTAAATTCAGTTGTATTTAAAGCATTTGAGAGATTTTTGTTCCTCTGCTGAAAGTCTACACTAGTCAACATTTGAAATGGATCATAAAAAGTTTGTGGAAATTGTAAAACTATTGAACAACATCTATTCTTGTTTTAGGACAATTTTGATCATTTAGTTTGATCCACATCAAAGGCTGACTATGTTCACTGGATAATATACTTCTGCAAAATTTGGATGAACAGATATCTTGGTTTTTTTGAGTCCATCCTTGGAAATGCATAATTTCTACAGCACATTTGAAACATAAGGAGACCCAGAAGGGATGTGATGGTGGGGAAAAAATTGGTGCGAGGAAAAAACAAAACAAAACTTAGTGATAAAAAAAATATGAATTTTTAGGTTTTTGCATTCCTTTGCAAAATTGGTGTTTAACAAACACCTCCTGCTCACTTCTGTGAACCCTGCAGTTTTTACCAATATTCTCCTTTATTTTACTATTACAATACAATTCTGCATATTTTACCAAATCATCTTTGCGAGGGAGCAAAAACTTTTTAAAAATATATTTTCCTATCACTTTTTTCTCCCATCAATTTTTTTCTCCCACCCAGTTTTCTTTTTTCCACCCATTTTCCCCCACCATCATGTCCCTTCCGGGTCTCCGTAGAATCATATGAAAGTATGCTGCATGAATAAAATAAATAAATAAAGCAAAATTAAGGTATTAATAATTTTTCAGTAACAATTTGATTATTTTGACCTACAGAGGGCGCTGAGAGCCACAATGATTATCAGATGTCGCTACTAGTTTTTTTTTTTTGATGAAGAACAACTGAAACAGGAAGAAAACAATGCTTTTGACATCAGTTAGCCTATAAAGAGATATTATTACTCATTCATTCATTTTTTTCGGCTTAATCCCTTTATTAATCTGGGGTCGCCAGTCACGCCACAGTGGAATGAACCGCCTACTTATCCAGCATACACCGCGGACACCCTTCCAGCTGCAACCCAACACTGGGGAAACACCCATAAACTCCTGCGTTCACACACTTGCACTACGGGCAATTTAGCTTATTCAATTCACCTATACCATATGTCTTTGGGCTGTGGGGGAAATTGGAACACCCGGAGGAAAGGAACCCGAACACATGGAGAGCATGCAAACTCCACACAGAAACGCCTTCGCCACAACGAGCGACCTTCTTGCTGTGAGGGCGAGGCGATCGTGCTACCCACTGCGCCATCGTGTCATCTCAAGGTAATCTCATACTGTACTAACTACCTATTCATCGTACATTAAAGTAAAAACGTAATACAGCACGTACATACAAAATACAGAGGATTGCAGACATGTTTAACGGTTAATTAATGAAATGTCCTGTCATGACTCCTAAACACAATACTGTAGTAAAATAGTAAGTTCGAAAATTACAACTGAAACCGTTTAATGTGCAGAGAGAACATAATGAATATGAAATGGTCCATTTCCAAAAGCACTAACATGAAATTGAAAAGTTGTCAATATTAAGAAAATGAGAAATATAAAAATCCTGTTTTCATATGTATTTGTTTTTGTAAAGTCACAGTTGTTACCATTTCTCTAATTTTAGTGTATTTTTTGTTAAATCAAAAACGATAAGAGTGAGTTTGACTTCCAAATATTATTAAAATGATCAATTGTCATAGAGCACCCTCGACTAGACATGGGCTGGTATAAGACTCTCACGGTATGATAACTTTGGATGTCGGTTTTATGGTATTGTGATTACTGCTCTAATATATGCTCTTTTCCTTTTTGAACACAATATATTTTATTTTAAGAAAATATTTTAGAACAGTAAACATGTCAGACTAAATAATCCAAATAAACCATTGACTTCTGCTGTCTTCGTTCATTTCAAAAACACAGATTTTTTTTACAGTTTATAATGGCATCTTTGAATATCTTTCAAAAAAAAAAAAAAACATAAACGAAAAGTCTTGCATATGCCATAGGAATGGTATTGCAGAACATTTTGGCCGTTTTAAAACCTTGACTTTTCCAAACAACGTTAAACCTTAAAAATGGTTATTGTCCCATGCCCATGACAGTTTAAAAATAGATCATTCGTATATTTTGACCACTGAACTACTTAAAATGCATCTTAGACACCTGGTCACCTTCTTTAAATCACTTATTTTTTATAATAAACAATTTTCATTCTGATTAAAGTATCAATAATTTGAGTAAATGATTGACAGGCTTTTCGTCTTTGGTTTGAACTAAGCCTTTGAAGAGTGTTTTTGGGCACACATATTCATGCTGCACTCATGAAATACCTTCACTGAAATGATTGTCTCTTTGTAAATTGTGTTGCACGGCTAATCTCTTCTATCTCTTCTTATGAGGCATATCTGGTGACATTGTAGTCTGGGTATTAACATGTGCACCCGCAAAGACACTGTCTATATTTCAAAGCACAATTATACGGCAAGTGAAATGCTGCAAAACCACAAATAATATGCCAAACAACTATCAAAATGTAGTTTACACATGAAAACAGTGACAATTTCTTCTGAAGTCACCATCTGGTACGTAAACTTTTTGTTTTGTGATATCCGTATTATAACTGTGTTAGAATCGTCTGGATCAATAAAGGTACATATGTTAAATTCGTTGCTCTTTTATTTTTTTAGTTTTGCAGGTCTATTCCTCCTCTTCGTCTTGTTTTCTGTCGATCATTGAGATATTGTGCGTGTGTGTGTTAATCCGGTGTAAAGCTCAGGTGATGGATGAGCAGTATGGGATTATGGAGAGGAGCTGCTGAGGTGTTTTGTGTTTAATTCCTCCACACTGTTCCTGCCGGTCTCTCCTGAAACTCCTCAACATGAAGACTCTCCTCGCCATGCTTGTCCTGTTGGCTGCTGTCATACACAGTGAGTATCTGCATCAAATAGAAAGGCAGTACATACAAGTTTTTTTATATTGATTTATGGTTAATTTTAATGCTGTGATTGTTGATATTCCTGTAATAGATATTTACAAATCTACGAGAGTTGTGTAAGATGTGCATTTTTGTAATTTATCATTATTATTTACAATTAATATGATTATTTTACATTATTATTATATTTATATTTTTATGTATTTAATTATAATTATTAGAAATTAATCTGAAATTTTATTTCTAACAGCACAGTTTCTTAATGTCAATAATGGTAATGATACAAATGAAAAGTAATTATTGTTTTATATTAAATAAATTTTAAATTTTTACATAATTTGTAAATTATTAATTAGAATTGTTACTGCCACATTTATATACAATTATTACAGAATAATAAACAAACAGTAAATAAATAAATTTATTATATATATATATATATATATATATATATATATATTCATTCATTCATTTTCCTTCTGCTTAGTCCGTATATTCATCTGGTGTCATCACAACAGAATGAACCGCCAACTTAGCCAAGATATGTTTTACACAGCCAATGCCCTTCCAGCTGCAGCTCAGTACTGAAAAATAATTCATATATTATTATTCATATATGAAGTATTTATTTACTGTTTATTTATTTATTACTCTGCATTTATTAATAACTAAATGCAAAGATAATTTTTAATAATTATTAGCAGTTTATTTATTGTTGATGTTATATTTGTAAAAAAAAAAAAAAAGCACATTCTAAATAGTAAGTAATTATTAATTTATGATTTTAAAATGATGATTATTGTTATAAAACATATTACTTATTATGATTGTACAATTTACAATTAATACAAACATGTAAATGTATGCATAAATTATAAAGATGTTAATTAAATGTTTGCAAACACTATTTGTAAGTATATACAATTAATCGTTTATTCATATTAATTACTACAATTATTTATTTTGCAATGGAATTAGAAATGTATTTCCTGTTTAAAATGAATTTATTTGCTTTGTATTTATTTATTATGTTTACATCGAATATATCCATGTCTAATTGGGACTGAAACGATGGCTAGTTTGTGTGTAGATGTGGTTTAATCTCAGATCAGCTGTGTTCTGTTGTCCGGCATGTGAAGGTGACGGCTTGAAGTGTTACTCATGTGTGGCGAGTAACTCAGACGAGTGTTTCCGGCAGGGCTCCACTGTGTGTCCCGCTCATGCAGATGCCTGCTCCACTATTACCAGCCACAGTGAGTACAAACAACACACACACATTGTGTTGCCGTGTACAGTCTGTACAGACTGTATGTTGTCCACTTCTCCCAGTGCTACCCCTAAACTTAACCCTCAAATGAATATATTCCAGTTTTACATTTTGAAATACATCATTTGGTGTAATTTATGGGCTGTTTTCCTAATGGGGACTAAATAAAAGTCACAAAAAGGTTAAAAATGACTGGTATTGCTATATTGTGTGACTTGATGAATTCCAGGAAAATACGCCAATAACTATTTTCTTTATTTGCAAAAAAACTGTTGACAAGTTTGTAGCAAAATTTTTTACAATACAGAGTATGAATTACATTGTCAATGAAAAAAGATACAAAAGAGAGAAGGAAAGAAAGAAAAAATAAACATAAAGAACAAGATATAAATTCAAGAATTAATTACAGTATATAAATTAAAGACCTTATAAAATGAAATAGTTCTGTTTGCTTTCTTATTTTCAGATAATGAAATTAAATGTAAATAATGACTAAATACTTGCAAAAAAAAAAAAAACAGAAAAATATGGTTTGGTATTAGTAAATTTGCATTTGTGGATATGGAATTTACAAAGAAAATAAATTCAATTTATAACAAAACTCGCATTTCACTTAGTAGAGGCAGATTCATAGTATGAAAATTATTCAAAAACAATTTAACAAAAACTAATTTATTTAAAATTAACAGAAATATCCCGCTGTATATTATCATTAGTAAATGAGCCAATATGTTTCCAAACTTGTACAGCATAATCACAATCCCAAAATAAATGAAAAACAGTTTCAGTATGAAATTGACAAAATTAACATTTTACATCAATATTAGAATAAATCTTTTTCAAAAATTGTTTAATAGGATAAAATGTGTTGATTAATTTAAAAGACACTTCTTTGACCTTGTTAGTGAGGATTTTTTTTTTTTTTTTTTGCAAAGACCATATTTTTCCCATTTCAAATCTTTAAATATTTTTCCAATAAGAGATTACAGGGGACAATGTAACAACTTTTTCATAAAAAAAAAAAAAAAATCTAATTTTGTATTCTTTTTAATTTGAAAAACAAATTTTTACCTATAAACGTCTCTGTCGGATCAGAAAGGTCGGCTTTATTAGGAGGGAGATGATTGCAATTTTTAAGGAGCAAAGTAATTCCTGATGTTTTAGCTCCCATAACAATAGTGACATTTTTGGGACTTACTGGTATGTTATATTCTAAAATAAATATAAAAAAATTTCATTAAAAAAACTAAAAAACAAAGATTTATTTAATATAAAATATTTTGGTTATTCAAAAAAAATGTGTGAGGAGTAAAATTGTGTTTATAAATTAATGTTTATAAATTAAAGCCCAGGCCAAAAGTACTTGTTGGTGGAATTTGAAAGTTTAACAGGAATTTTTGGTTATGTTATAATTAAAGGCAATAACAATACAACACATTGCATGTGTGAAACTGCGTGTTTCCGCTTGCATATGCAAGTCACAGTCAAATACTGTTGGCGCACACGCACACTTTCAATTCACTTCCTGACCACAGGAGGGAGACTTCCCTCTTTATTTCTGTGTTGAGTAAGAGTTGGCATTAGGGATTTGCACTCGCATCAGGGAGTTGCAAACATTAGGGATGACTGAGTGAGTTTAAAGTAGGGCTGGGCCAATAAACCATATATCGAATAAAATTAATGTCAATAACAATGACAAGCTCTGGACTTTTTTATACTACATTGATCAAAGAGCCAATCACACAGCAGAAATATGCAACAATGGGAATATAAACGTGTGTTAATATTACAGAAGTACTGAACTTTCAGCCACCGGAAATTTATCGTCCAAAAATGTGTTTGCAATTTATTGGACCCTCTAATTTTTGTGGCTTCCGTCATTTAATGGGGTACTCTTTAAAATCTGGAAGCATTAATAACTTATATTGAAATATATATCATTACCATTCAATATTGAAAATAATTATTGAGATTGCATTTTTGCCCAGCACTAGTATAAATTACACTAAATGTTTCTCAGTAAGATGTTTTTTAATATGTTGTTTAGAATAATGTTTTTATTCACATACAGACACATACAAGATTGGCTTACAGATCATTTGCAGGTACAATTTAATGAACATGCAGTCTTGCAATAGTGAAATTAAAAGGAACCATTTCAAAATATTAGATACAGTTAATAAACCTGCAAATACTGCAATAAATCACATTAAATATAATAATTAATAAAACAAAACAATAAGAACATAATTTGACTGGATGTGTGGATTCCTCTATCAGATCTGAGTCAAAGAAAATAATTTTTTTATTCAATTTTGGGACTTTTGAAGCTGCTGATTGATGGATTTGGTCTTTGGGTTTGGACTCTTATCAGTAAAAATTAAACCACACTGAACTGAACTAAACTGAACTTCAACTCTGAAAACTGGTCTGATGCAGTTTCAATTTCAATTTACTAGAACTTTTAAGTTAAGCTTCTTTGACACAATCTACATTGTAAAAGTGCTATAGAAATAAAGATGAATTAAATAGAAATTTATTTATTTTCCAAAACCTTGTTATGGATAACGAATATCCATTTTGGTATTGTTTTTCGATATTGGCCTGTTTCCACTGAGTGGTACGGTACAGTATGGTATAGTTTGGTACAATGTGGTTGGGCACACTTTTATGGCTGTTTCCACTGTCAGAACTTACCAAAAAGCAAAACATTCAGTGGAAAAGGAAAAAGTGGTATGGTACGTTTGATTTTTGGTACCTTTTGACAGTAGAAATAGAAATAAATGTGTGCCTAACCATACCGTACCACCCAGTGGAAACAGGCCATAATGGACTGCAGGCTTTTAGTTGGAAGTCAAATTATGCAAATGGTACGTATAGCTTGGTACGGGTCCCCTTTATCGGGCTTGCGTTTCCACTGCCAAAAGGGTGCCAATGGTATCCTTTTGGTAGGCATGGTGTACGACAGAAAGTTTTAGATGACATCATTCTCACTGGAGTAAAGAGACTGGAAGTAAAGACTGGAAGGGCCTGTATGTGTTCAAATGTGTTGCATTTATTTATTTATTTTATATGATTGCAGACGTTACAGTAGGCTATTTCACATCATTGATCTGCAGTTAAAATCAAATCATGTTCTTAGAAAGGTTAGTCATGAACATGTATACACAACTATTTATGTGTATAAAGCATCTGTTTTGTGAGAAATGCTTCTCATATGATATATAAATGACCCATACAGCTTTACTTTGACATTTCCTCCAGCGAGAATGACATCAAATGAAACTTTCTGTCCTACACCATGCCTACCAAAAGGATACCATTGGCACCCTTTTGGCAGTGGAAACACAAGCCTGATAAAGGGGACCCGTACTGTACTGTACCAATCAGTGGAAATGGGCCAGAGTCAGCTCCTGTGAAACTCAACAAAACTGAGGATTGTCTGACGTATCATTCAGCAATGCTTGGATTTAAGGAATGCTTTTTGTGATGAGAGTGAAAATGATGTGTTGTGTATTTCTAAATCCTCTACGTGTTTCTCCTCCGCAGACTCTGTAATGAAGTCATGCGCTTATAAGTCGTTCTGTGACAAGTCTCACATGAGCAATGGAGAGATGAAGCTGGAGTGCTGCTATAATGACGACTGCAACGGCCCTCATCGCTCCCACAGCCACGGGGAGCCCGGCAGCGCCCTGAGCCTGAGCTCCAGCCCCATCCTGCTGCTGACCGTCCTGCTGATCCCTCTGACCCTCAGCTCACTCTAAACCCAAAACACAAACTGAGAGAATTAAGCCCTCCTCTGATGGAGTGAAGCTGTAATGTAACTGATAGATGAGCTTTTGTCTACGAGGCGGCAGAATAATCTGTGTGTGTTCTTGCTGTTGGACAAATACTGGTTAATAAACACTGCATAGGTTGTGTGTTTGTCTGTTTTTGTGTTGTATATGAGCTCAAATGAGCATCTGCTAAACAAATCAATAAAGTAATGACCAGTGTACATTTGTCTATCTGTCTGACTGTTCATCTATCTGTCTAGCTATCTTTCTGACTGACATCTATCTATCTATCTATCTATCTATCTATCTATCTATCTATCTATCTATCTATCTATCTATCTATCTGTCTGTCTGTCTGTCTGTCTGTCTGTCTGTCTGTCTGTCTGTCTGTCTGTCTGTCTGTCTGTCTGTCTGTCTGTCTGTCTGTCTGTCTATCTATCTATCTATCTATCTATCTATCTTGTCTATGTATCTATCTTTCTGTCTGCATGTTTGTCTCTCCATCGGCAGATCTTCTGGACTCCTCAACGTCTATCTGAGCGTCTGTCTGTCTCCAACAGTTTGTTTCCCGTAATATGGAAAAGCGAGCATTACTGGTGCATGAGGATCCTCACATAGCACAGCGGCTCTTGGGGGTATCCTCTGTGTGACGTGTCATTGTTATGGGCAGAGACACACATCCATCCATCGATCCGTCCGTCCGTCTGTCTGTCTGACTCAATATTGATTATAATACTGAATATTTAATATTGATATATTGAATATGATACAATATTGCCAAACCTTGAAATAGAAGAATGAATATAAATCTACAATAAAATGTCAAAATAAAAGAATAGAATCCAAATATCATAATCATTTAAACTTGAGTGAACAATGTAAGAAATAAAAAATGTGCCCATTTCAAACCAAATGGTTTAACATATAAACACAGACAAAGGGTCACTGTGGTAGACAGTATACTAGGGAATCTATCTATCTATCTATCTATCTATCTATCTATCTATCTATCTATCTATCTATCTATCTATCTATCTATCTATCTATCTATCTATCTATCTATCTATCTATCTATCTATCTATCTATCTATCTATCTATCTATCTAATTTGTCTGTCTGTCTGTCTTTCTGTTTCTGCATGCTAATTGTCTTGTCTTCCTGTCTCTGTTTTATGTCTGTCAGTCTATCTTGTCTATGTCTCTATCTTTCTGTCTGCATGTTTTTCTCTCCGTCGCCGTCTGCATATCTTCTGGACTCCTCAACGTCTTTCTGAGCGTCTGTCTGTCTCCAACAGTTTGTTTCCCTTAATATGGAAAAGCGAGCATTACTGGTGCATGAGGATCCTCACGCAGAGCAACGGATATTCAGGGTATCCTCTGTGTGACGTCGGTCACGGGCACAGACACACGTGGGGCGTCTGTAACTTTCATAACACCGATGGGGGTTTCAGGTTGCAGGTCTGGTGGGAGGCGATGAAGCGCGAGAACACGTTTAAAAGTGCTGCAGGATTCAGACAGAACCAGCGCTCCTGCATCCAGCTGTGGACATTCACGAAGTTTCTTCACGAGAACAAAGTTTTCTTCAGAGGTAAGTTCAAGCAGTCAGAAATTATGTTTAGAGTTTAACTCATTATAATTGAACCGTTTTCTGTTTGAAAAGTCTTGAAATGCTGATTTTGGTGTCTTTAATGAAGAGAAGATTTCTCATGATATTTGATGGAGAAACGATTCTCATCATGGTAGTTTCATACAATATTTAAACATTTGGGCTGACCTAAAATGTCTTTAGGTTGTAGTCATATGTTGCATCAAAAATACAAATATACCTCAAGTTAATAAGTTGTGACATAATAAACAACAATTTGGTTTGCTAGACCATGTGTTTTTCAAAAAGCCTATAAGTGATGTTGTTTACAAATGCTTTAACCTCAAATCAAACAATGCTATAATCCTTTCTACCTTGTTATTTTTTTCAGATATGTTTTTCTTAACGTTGAGCTTTTTTGAATATTTAAATAATTTATTTAATATTTAATAAATGCTTCAGGCCATATAGTGTACATATAAGCTTCATTGCCTCTGAATAGCATAATCAAATGTTGAGTATTTAAACATTTATAATTGAATTGTGTTTTGTTTAAAAAAATATTGAAAAGGTTATGAAATTTGATGGAGTAATGATTTCCGTTATTTATTTTTATATTTTTAATATTTAAATAATTTAATATAATAATTAAAAAATGCTTCAGTATATGTAGTGTACATATAAGCTGCATTGCCTCTGAATAATCAAACAAGACAATTTATGTACATTAAATGAAACTATACAATAAAACAAATCAAACACAGTGGTAATATAAAGCCGTGATAAACATGGTATAAATAAATAGTGCAAACATAGGGTAAACAAAATTTAACAAAGCTGTTATAAATACAGAGGAGCCACCAAGTCAAATGATCTAAAGCTTGCTCTCTAACTTTGAGGTTTTGATGAGTTTGCATTGGTTGTACAGTGGTTATGACATCATGCTTTAGCCTCCTCAAATTAATAAAATGACTCATCGACCAGGCAGCTCCAAGTGATTTATTTAGGAATTCCTTTGAGAAAGGGATTTTCTGAGTCAGGAAATTGGATATAATGTTACCTATAAATAACTGCAGACAGATGAGGAGAACTCCAACAACTAATCTTAAACTAATCTTACTGGACTCCAACAACTAATCTTTAGAAGTTTGCTGAACGAGCAACTAATCTAAGCATCAAATCACGAGTACATAAATGTTTATGAACAAAACCTGCATAGCTGAAAGTACTACTGTACTACTTCTGTGCAAACCCACTCTGCATAATAATATAGCAGCTTTTTAGAAACATGTTGGCTGCCATTCATCATGTTTGAAAGCTGGGCTATCCTTTTCTTGGAGTCAGAATTACTTTAGTGCTGCTTTTTAATGCAGCAAACATGGACATGGAACAATTTGTTAAGACATCGATTACCTCTCAATTACAGGGCTTGTTTCTACAAAAACCCTTTCACTGACAGATTAGTGTGAGTGATGGATAAAGTACACCACAATCATCAGCTATAGCCTTAGGGTGAACTGACATGAACGACAGAGTTCAGCACGGTTATACAAATCTGCATTAGTGAACAACTTTACCTCTTTTTAAAGAACAGATTTCAAAGGATTTCCCCTAAATAGTTTTGTATGATCATAATGAATTAATTATTAAAGTATTTAAAAGAATTAGATTGATTCATTTATGTTATTTAATTCTATTTTGGGCCTTGCAGGTTGACGTTTAGCCATGGCGGTGTCTTCTGCATTGTGCATCTTCAGTCTGTTGGTTCTAGCTCAGGCCCAATCTGAACTCCAGCAACCCAAGATTGAACTCCGTCTAGCCGGTGACAAACGCAAGCATTACGAGGGTCGTCTGGAGGTCTTCTACAACAATGAATGGGGAACTGTGTGTGATGATGACTTCTCGATTGAAGCCGCTCACGTGGCATGCAGGCAACTTGGCTTCTTGGGCGCTGTCGCTTGGTCTCCGTCTGCAAAGTTTGGACAAGGAGAAGGTAGGCCAAAAGCTTATTGAAGATCCACTATGTACATATGTTCTTGGATTACATTGGTAATCCATCATGTTTTAGTCATTAGGGGTAAATGATAGCCATCAGACTGTTGTTACCTTTAGGAAAAAAGTATGGAAATAAGATTGAAAGTCAAGAGCAGACATAATGTCATCTTTCTGTCTCTTTATTATAGAAACATGCTGATTTGTCTCAATAAATCTGTCTAAAGATTGTAAATCAAACTCTACTGTTCAGTGGGTGGTTATGACTGAGCCCAATGGAAGAATAACCACTGGTTATTCCACTCTTATCCTCATTTCCACAGAGTTAGCAAAATCATATGAAGAATGTAATGCATCGAAAGAGAACATTTGGGAAGTGTTTGTCATTGGTAACTTGAATTTAAAAAACAATGATGATATAAATTAAAAATTATGTCACCATTTGCTTTAAATCTGCATTTTTTAATCAGAATTAGTATACAAGAATAATGGAAACTAGCACTTTTGAGCCTTGAAATGAATCAGAATTTTTAAGTGAGGTGTCTGAAAAGCTCTGTTGAGAACCGGTGTTCTTTCAGTTTGCGTTGGCGACCCAAGAGTGTTTCAGACTGTACCAAAAAGCTCAAAAGCGTATGTGGGGGAGGCGGATTGGTGCTGAAATACAGTAGTTTTCCAGGAGAAATAACTAAACGGTAGGGTGGCGGTAGATAGGTCTGAAATGAATGTAATGGGAAAAAATTTGAGTGTTGGCAGGTATGGGCTAACGACCCACCTTGTAAATATTTGATGTTATGAAACACCAGTATGGTGCAGCTAAATATCAAATTTGCCCTGGGAGTAAGTAAGTATTATCAGTTATTCAGGTGTGATTTAAATAATATTCTTCTGAAACTAATCTTTTACAAATGTCATACAAGTTTATAATTATATAAGGTACAGTTAAAGCCCTAATATACAGTATACTTCAAGTGAAAAAGAAGAATGTAATCTTATAATCTGAAGTTTGAAATGAGTGAAGTTTCCAGGACAATTTGCTTTTGCTGGTAAATAGCGTCAAACTACCTGCGAAGGTAGGCATGACAAACTTCTCCCATAAATGTAGTCTGTTCAGTCCACTGAGCTAGACATCTTGTTTCCTTTATGGTAGAAACTATAATGTAATTCAACTGGAAAGCAGTTGGGAGTAAACTTTTTCTTTATGTGAGCCTGGTAGTAGTAGTCATACCATTAAAAAGCCACCATCTGCTGGTGATTGACAAAACCAACAATTGTTCTTTGTTCCCCAGGTCGCATCTGGCTCGACAATGTCCACTGCACAGGCAGAGAAAACTCTTTAGCTGCATGCCCCTCCAATGGCTTTGGTGTGTCGGACTGCAGGCACAGTGAGGATGTCGGGGTGATTTGCAATCAAAAGCGAATTCCTGGTCACAGGTTCATCAATATCATGAACAACAATGTTGAGGTAAGCCAACCCACTCTAGGCCAGGGGTGTTAAACTCTGCAGCTCTGCTTATTTTCAACCTTTCTTCAGAATACTTACCTGCAGGTTTCCAACAAGCCTGACGGACATCCTTAGTTTGATCAAGCATGCTTAATTAAGGTTGAAGCTAAACTGTGCATGACTGTAGCCCTCAGGTTCTGGAGTCTGACCCCCCTGCCCTAGGCTCATGGAACATTGTAGTCATGCTAAATTATTCTCTAGGGATTTTACTAAAATGCAGGGCATATGTGAGTTCAGAGGTAACTGGGTTTAAAACAGGCCTGACTAGCCCTTGAAATGCCTTTGCAAGGTTTAAAGTATGACAATGTGCTTAAGACCACAGTGTATCATCAAAACCACAGGGTTTCCCATCAGAGAAGCCCAGAATTGTACTCCCAAAAGCCAATATGTCTTAGAGAAACAGCCACATACTTTGTCATATCCAGAAACTCGGTTCTAAGTGTAGCTTTAGCGTTCTCAGCATTCCTTTGTCGCTTTACCTCTTGGATAAAAAGGAAGTGAAGGTCTGTTTTCACAGGCCACGCATTCCTCTCCAAAGTTTCTAGAATAGTTTATTAGCGTTTAGTTTTCATTTTATGGCAATGCCAGCTGTCCACACGCCCCCCATGCCTATTGATGCAGAAGGGCGAGACAGAAATGGTAGTCTTATTAACTAATATTTGTATATTTGCCATGTTGCTATGGCAGCCAGGTTTAAAGACGGTCCTATGAGAGTGATCAAAGAGCCCATGGTGTGCTTTTCCATTTCCACAACCCTTAGGTTTAATGACTTTACCACATTGTATGTCTCCCCCGAATCCTTTTCCTGTTCCCACAAGACATTCCCCTTCTCCTCCAGCGCCTTCTTTGGGGATTGCTGACTAATGGAAGGAATGATTCGAAAACAGAGAGTCCCTCTCATCAAACGTGAATTCTTTATTTGAGGAAAGCAAACCGAGACACTGTTTTTCTGGACTGGTTTAAAAAAAATAGCCATCAGGTAATGTCACCTCAACTACCTATGATGTCATCAGTCAGGCGATGGTCTGTGAATGAATGTGAGAAGTTGTTAGCTATTGGTAGGTGTAATCCTGATTTTTCCTGAGTCACATACCAGAAGTCTGAGGTACAGAGGTTCCTCTGTGAACCTTGTATAAGTGAATTTTCAACCACCAGCATGCCAGGGTGAACTAAACTTAGACAGACACTCAAATTCCTCAGGCAGTCTTCCAGCGCCAATGTTTCTGAAAGCAAGAGCCTGTCATTTTGTACATTTTTTTTCTCATTCATGGACAATTTGATGTCAGATATGACAAAGAGGGAGGCGTGGTGGTGCAGTTGATAGCGCTGTCACCTCACAGCAAGAAGGTAGCTGGTTCGAGTCTCGGCTGGGTCAGTTGGCATTTCTGTGTGGAGTTTGCATGTTCTCCCCGTTTTCATGTTGGTTTCCTCCAGGTGCTCCGGTTTCCCCCACAAGTCCAAAGACTTTAGGTGAATTGGGTAGGCTAAACTATCCGTAGTGTATGTGTGTGAATGAGTGTGTATGGATTTTTCCCAGTGATGGGTTGCAGCTGGAAGGGCATCCACTGTGTAAAACATATGCTGGATAAGTTGATGGTTCATTCCGCTGTGGCGACCCCAGATTAATAAAGGGACTAAGCCGAAAAGAAAATAGAGTAAAGAAACTACTATCACTACAAACTACTTCCCTCGACAAAATCCCTATAGGATTTTTCTATCGGCTTTTTGAAGATTGCAAATAATAAGCTCTGTGTTCAAACACTGTTCATTATAATTACACGTTTTGTCCAGAGGGATAATCCTCACCCGAAAATACAATTTTGAGCACTTTTAGATCTTAAATGCAAACACAAGAACTGAAAAGCTAACATTAGGCTATAAACGGACTACAGTGCCTTCAGGACACTCGCCTGTGACGTTAGCACCACCCTTCTACAGACAACTTTTCTAGCTTATTTTTAGAAATATGCTTCATGACAAGGAGTTAATCTCTGTTTATTATATTATAATGCACGCTATATATTATGAACAAATAAATACATTACAGTTTTGCTTTATGGATGTTGTAAAAGTTTTTAAACTTTATGTATAAATGTGCCTACATAGTATTATCACTAGCCAGTTCTTATGATAGTGTGTATCGCTCGCGTGCACACAGCCCGCTTACCTTAACAGATGACAGAAATGAGGCGTGATTAAGGGACAAGTCTATCAAATGCCTGTTCAATGATGGATCGAGAACAACATTCAATATTCTTTTTATGTCACAAAGTACAGTGAAAAGCAGCCCGTGCAGTCACATTTGCTTTAAATTTAAGGAGGAGTGTAAATATTGCAGTTATGAAAAAGTTAAATGTGTTCAAATGAAAAAAAAATGACAAAAAATCACTTGATCACGTTAAAATGACAGAATATGTGTGTATTTTTACCCATTTATTCACACGTTTGCATTACAGAGAGCAGGAAAGAAACAGGCTGCACTGGTAAGCAGTTTCTTCATAATATCGTTTAATTAAAATAAATGATCAACAAATTAATCTGTGTTGACAGCCTTCACAAGTGATGGAATTATCTACACACAAAATGAATTCCCAATTAGAAAAATACTACAAACTATATTCATGAAAATATTCATGAAAATACTTAAATACAAACAAATGCAATTGCCCAACGCAAGCGAGCTGCGCTCCAGACCAAATTAGTTCGATGACGTATAATGACTCCGACATATAATGCCTGTAGTTCCATTTAGTAACTTGATAGCAGTAGCAACCGTCTTTTTAAAGAAGCGTAACCGATTTAAAAAATCAAGAGTGGGATGTAACTGATATGTTTTATGTCGTAGAATAAAATGTGAAAGTATCTTCAGTTTGTGTTTGCCACGAACCGTATTTAAGTGACTTTACTGAATGTATTAAAAAAACCCATTGACTTTGGGGCGAGGGAACCAGAACTGCTAAAATGTGAACTCGCTTCTGGGTTTTTGCATACAAATTGACGTCATAGTTCCTCCACTCTATTAATGAATTTGACAAAGAGTAGCTTAAAAGCCAAAGTCTGAATTTCTAGCACATCGTGTACCAGTACGCATTACGAAACACTTCCACAAATATTATCCTTTCCTAAAGCTGCAAAACTGCTAAATAAGAGTTTTTCTGTCATATACATACAAACAACTATGTTTAAAAGTGTGTTTGCCTGCTTTTATTTACCTTTCCTGGGTGTCAACACAGCTAGCCAGTGTGTGCTCCACCCAGCAAACATCACCTCATAAAGAACTTTCTCAAAGATTTAGAAGAAGTTTACCCCATTTTTACTATGTAAAGATCATATTAGCTTGGTATTTATGTGTAAAAATACACCCCATTACACTGGAAATGTGTTATGGGTAATGATAACATTAGCGATAGCCTTTAAGTGCAGTTTAGCTGAGTGTAATGGCTTGTGAAATAGTTAAGAAAAGCCATTCAAAGACTGTTTAGCTCTATGACCTTTAGTAAAAGCACAAAACACTTCATGTAATGCAGTGTTTCTCAACCACATTCCTGGAGGCCCACCAACACAGTATGTTTTGGATGTCTCCTTTCTTTGTTACCCCCATTACAGGACTTTCAGTCAATGCTAATGAGCTGATGATCTGAATCAGGTGTGTGTTTGGTTAAAGAGACATGGAAAATGTGCTGAACTGGTGCTCCTTTAGGAACGTGGTTGAGAAACACTGATGTAATGAATGTGTTTCTTTATCTAAGATGCCATTAGCTTTAGCTGCAATTAGATATATTTAGTTTTAACAGAAGAAAAGAAATTCCAACAGATTTTTAGTGGTAATGAGGGCAGTTGCTGAAATCGCTGCATTAACCTAGCAACCACAAAGAAAAATTGCTACACATAAGCATTGTGACATTAATTATTATGATGGAAAAGCACCACTCATGTTATTTAGCCAAAAATCTTTAGTGCTATCACGTCTTTTTGAAATGATACATTAAGTCAAATATTGTTTATATTTTCAGTTTTCCCACTCTATATCGGGACTCTGAAATATAAACAGTTTTTAATTTCTGACCACACGCAACTGCACATTCATTTAGTGTCTAAACTAATAGAAAGACAAAAGACAGACTCTCAGAATAGACAGCGAATGAGCAAATGGTTTGTTTTGTGTTCTTGTAAACATTCAGTTAGAACAGCTTATCGCAGTCATCACCACAACACACAGTCCACCACAACACATGGAAAAAATTGTGCTTACCAAAGGTTTACAGCATGAAAGCTGTTTGCTTAGGGTGATCTCATCGAGTTGTTGCAATTAATCAGGTAATGATTATATAATTTATTTACATTTTTGTCTGCAGCAGATGTTTCCCACCAGCACAACTTTATGCTCTTAGACAACTTGCTAAGATGCAATATGACCTTAGAGGAAAACTAGTTGGATGTATTATGATTCTAAAGCATTAATATGAAGCAGCGTTCACCTGACGTGTGATGGAAAGTTAGCCGCCTAAATGTTTATAAACAAGAAGACAACACCTAAAGATGATTCAGTGCTCATAATAGATTGTGCTATGCTTGTCATAATGATTGATATGAATATATATTTCCCTCTTGCTAAAGTATGCTCTAAGTCAACAAGGCAGTGTCTGTCTCAACTGAATGCACCAGTAGTGAATGTACATTCTAAATGCAGCATAGAGAGGTCAAAGTTCAGGTTTTTCCACGAGGCTAAGAGGTGTTGGCTTTCTTCTGATGGATTCCGGTTTAAAACAAGAGTAGGAAACTTAAGATACTTTGGATTTTGAGACAATGAAAGCTGTTATGCTTCAAAGGAAGTATTGGGAGTGTAGGTCACGTCTGAGGTTAGGAAGTCAATTAAAATTTTATTAGCATGAAATCTGTAGATAAACATTTCCAAAACTACATAACTATTTACACTGTTGGGGTTTGGCATAGCTATATGG